ACTCAGAGTGCTTTGGTATGGTTTGGAGGGCACTTACTTTTATATGCTGCCCTATCTATGTTTCCTGGTAAAATACATGGGGAAATCACATTGGAGGAAAATTCCACTTAGGATTAGGGTTAGGTCACCGTGAAATCATACGGCAAAATGGACATCACCAACAAATCTAGAGTGCTTGGGTATGGTTAGGAAGGCACAGACTCTTCCAGTCAGCTTTATCTATGTTTCCTGGTAAAATACATGGGAAAAGCGAATTGGAGGAAAATTCCACTTAGGGTTAGGGTTAGGTCACTTTGAACTCATACGGCAAAATGGACATTGCCAACATATTGGGACTGCTTGGGTATGATTATGAGGGCACTTACTTTTCTAGCCTGCCCTATCTATGTTTCCTGGTAAAATACATGGGAAAATCCCATTGGAGGAAAACTCCACTTAGGGTTAGGGTTAGGTCACCGTGAACTCATACGGCAAAATGAACATCGCCAACAAACTCAGAGTGCTTTGGCATGGTTTGGAGGGCACTTACTTTGATATCCTGCCCTATCTATGTTTCTTGGTAAAATACATGGCAAAATGCCCTTGGAGGAAAACTCCACTTAAGGTTAGGGTTAGGTCACCATGAACTGATACAGCAAAATGGACATCGCCAATAAATTCGGAGTGCTTGGGTATGGTTAGGAGGCCACTTACTTTTCTATCCTATTCTAGCTATGTTTCCTGGTAAAATACATGAGAAAATCCCATTGGAGGAAAATTCCACTTAGGGTTAGGGTTAGGTAACCATGAACTCGGAGAGGAAAATGGACATCACCAACAAACTCTGAGTGCTTGGGTATGGTTAGAAGGGCACAGACCTTTCCAGTCTGCCTTATCTATGTTTCCTGGTAAAATACATGGGAAAATCCCATTGGAGGAAAATTCCACTTAGAGTTAGGGTTAGGTCACCATGAACTCATACGGCAAAATGGACATCGCCAACAAACTCAGAGTGCTTTGGTATGATTAGGAGGGCACTTACTTTTCTAGCCAGCCCTATCTATGTTTCCTGGTAAAATACATGGGAAAATCCCATTGGAGGAAAACTCCATTTAGGGTTAGGGTTAGGTCACCGTGAACTGATACGGCAAAATGGACATTGCCAACAATTTCAGAGTGCTTGGGTATGGTTAGAAGGGCACAGACCTTTCCAGTCTGCCTTATCTATGTTTCCTGGTAAAATACATGGGAAAATCTCATTGGAGGAAAATTCCACTTAGGGTTAGGGTTAGGTCACCTTGAACTCATATGGCAAAATGGACATTGCCAACAAATTCAGAGTGCTTGGGTATGATTAGGATGGCACTTATTTTTCTAGCCTGCCCTATCTACGTTTCCTGGTAAAATACCAGCCTGTGCCTTTGCCATGTCCCCCCAGGGTTCCAAAGCCATCTATGGATGCCTTCACTGGAGCAGAACTGGAGGAAAATCGTGGAGAAATATTTGTGAACAGTGAACTCGGAAGTTCATTTCAAGAATATTATAGGTGGCATAAAAATGATTTTGCAGAAGAGGCACATCAGCTGTTCTGGATAAGATCGAGATCGAATTGAATGATGAGCTAACTGAATGAGAAGGAAAACATGTTTATCTTTGATATTCAGATGAAGCTTCTTGATGTGTTAATAATTGAAAGGACATATGAATAACAAACTAGAAGAGTGATTTGAATAATGTTTCTGTGCTGGATTTATAAAAAATAAAAATGTAGTTAATCTCTGCTAACCTTTAACAGACTTTTGCTGATCAGGAATAATGTGTCGGGGTTCTTTTCATGACTGAGATGAGAATGCAAGGAAGGGAGGATTTGCTGTTTTTTAAAAGATGTTACAAAAATATTTGTTGTGATAAGAGGGAAGTTACTTCTTTATGTTTCTTTCTCCTCCTCCTCCTCTCCTCTTTTGTTTTCTGTACCTATTTTTTCTTTTTATTCTCATGTAGGTTTTTTTTAGTTTTTATCTTTTAAATTGTAATTTCTAGTAAAATTATTATTTAAATAAGAATAATTCAGACTCCTAGGGACCCTTCCTCAGCTAGGGAGAGAGTATGTGGAGGTGAGGTTGTTGTGCAGGAATACAAGCTAATTTGAGGGCTAATCCACATCCGTTTCCATCTGTCCTGTTTGCCATCCTTCACTCCTTAGACATTAAAATGGACAATCTGAAACTTGAGCTGGCCATGAACAAGGAGTGTATATCGGAGGTGGTGACCCTTTGAGAGCTGTATGCAACAAAATTTCATTTTGATGTATGCCGATTGGTGTACATTCAAAGTGACAATAAAGTTGTTGTTATTATTATTATTTGGATATATTATTGAATTGTATTTAAATCACTGGGAGTCTGAATGATTTGACAGTGTACAAATGTAATAACAATAGTAACTAAAGGGAAGGATAGTAACTAAAGTTTCAGCTTTGCTGTTTCTCACCTTCTGTAACATGTATCAGTCCTTTCCAAATGTTTTCAAACGGTGAAACTTGGGGAGGAGCTGCCTCTCCTGGCCGCCAGAGGGCAGCGGCGCAGAGTGGGCAGGACCAGTGGAATTCATCTTCTTTCTTAGACCCGGCTTTGTCAAATGCGGAAACAAGCCAGGTTGAGATCTTAAATAAAATCACTCCTTTAACCGGTTCTGGACACTTCGCATGCAGAAACAAATCCTCTTCTGGGAAGATGAACAGAAGAGAACTAGCTCTTCCTCTACCCCAGGGTTAAAGGAGGGTTACCAAGACAAAACTGAGCACAGAATCGGAGCTGGAGGGGACCTCTGACATCATCCCAGCCAAATGGCTGTCCAATCCATTTTTGAAAACCTCCAGCGATGGAGCATCCCAACCCCTGGGAGGCAAGCTGCTCTCATTGTCACGTTCTCCTTCCTTCTGGGTTGTATCTCTCTTTGAGAAGCTTTCGCCCATTACTTCTTACCCTGCCCTCTGGTGCCCTGTAGAATAGGTCCACCCTCTCTTTTGAGAGCCAAGATGGGCAGAGGGGGGCTCTGGTTCAAATCACCGGACGACTTTGTTAGTCACTTTATTTTAGCTCAACTTAGCTCACAGGAACATTGCAGGAGAAAAATGAAGAGTAAGCGCTATTTATACTGTCCTGAGCCTTCGAAGAAAAGGAAGGATGTAAATTAGAAAAAAAATATTGAAATTTGGCAATATGGCTGCTTCTGCTTCTTAGAGCATGTGTGATTCTGGGGGTGAACTTTAAAGCATCTCTTGCACTTAACTTTTTGAAGGGAAGTGTTGGAGATGGTCGCTCTTGTGGTGAAACATGGATGGAAGGCTGCAGTTCTTTGGACCCTGTTGGATCCTTCAACAGGTCATGATATAATTGTCTTTTCTGGGCCCTCTGCGAGGTTGGAGCTGGAAGTATTGTTTCACAGTAGAGGCGGTGGCGACAGTCGTGGTTATTTATATAGCTTATATAGTTCTGGTCCTTCTTATGTAGAGATCTTTAGTTAATAGGAGAGGAAGGAATGGCTGAGTCATTGGCCACCCATTGTGGGGCACCCAGGATTCTCCTGGACTGCTTAATATTGCTATGCAGCTGCCTCTGAGAGGTTGTCCATAAGCTGAGGCTGGGGGATGGTCCCCCGGGGACAGGTGAACATGGAGGCAGATAAAGTTGCTGCTGGTGGGTAGGCCTGAAGGAGAGACCCCCAAAATGGGAAAAGCTTGTTATCACTAGATCCCAGTGGCAGGCATAGGAGGGCATGGTGAGAACCCAATCTACCAGCAGCTGATGCTCATCAATCCACATGTATTTATTTGTATTCTGCCTTTTTATTTTTTTATAAATAATTCAAGGTGATAAACATATCCAACACACCTTCTTCTTTCTCTTTTCCCCACAGCAACAACCCTTTGAGTGGTACAGACCCCTTGAGTGCCAGGAGTTTTTTTCCTTGAATATTGTCATGGCTGCCTCAGGAGTTGAGGACTGCTTGCCATGCAGGCCTGGGAGTTGAAAAGAGCTTCTAGGAAGGGAGAGGCCAGAAGGGCCCTAGGCTCATTGCTCTGGGCTCATCTTGCCCAGGCACTCCTGTCCAGACCAGGCCACCTTTGGGGAAGCAAGAGAGGAATGGAGGGTGGGGGGCAACCTGGCAGGGGAAGAGAAGAGCCAGACTGGAGGGAGGACTGAGACTTCCTTCAGAGAAGTGGGCTCAGCTGTGGAGGCCATCTTGCTCTGGTACCAGCTGTCGCCAGATGTGCCAGCCCTTCCTGGTACTGTGGGCTGCTTGTCTGAAGCAAAGGCTCCAAGACAGTTGGCTATTCTCTAAAGCTGGCATCTGACCAGCAGCAGGAGGAGGAGGAAGCCCAACTCTCCTGCCTCCCAGACCTGATGGTCCAGGGTGCCAAGGAAAGGAGAACGCAGAGCCATGTTGTTGGGAGAGAGCGTAGGAGATGTTTTTAGCATCCTCTTCAAAGGAGACCCTTTTTCTCCTGCCAGAAGGGGGTCCTGGGCAAGCAGTTCTGCTGCTCGGTCTTCTCTCCAGCAGCGCCCTTTTCTCTGTTTGGCCCATGGCCAGCTAGTAGCAAGGTCAGAGCTGCCTTTCCCAGGAACCAACAGAACTCTCCTTGCCTCCATTTCCCCAAGGTTTGAGGAGAGAGAATTCACTGCAGCTTAGCCACTCTCTGCTGTGGAAAGGACACATTGCCTCCAGGCGCTCAGAGCTACACCAGGACCCTTCTTGGCATAACTCGTGCAGCCTGGGGCAACAGTCTCACCAGCCTGCGTGGCAGAAATTGATCAAGAAATCTTCTTGGCAGCAATGAGACTGCACCTACAGAAGCCAATTTCAGAAGCGGCAACCCCAAATCCCATCCACCTGAGGCTGGGAGCAGTTTCTGCCCATGAGGGGTTAGGCAGCTCACATCTGGCTCCTGGTCTAGGCACTCCTTCCCACTTTGTCAGTGGGAGTCTTTTCCCAAATGAAAAAAGAACAGAAACTTGAAATAAAATCCTTGCAGCACTTTATTTCTATAGGAAAAGCAGAGCGGCTTAGAATTGCATTGTTTGCAAAACCCCATTTGGTCCCTGAAGATATGGAGTCATTTCTACTTGGAAAATCCTGCAGGAGACAAGCTACAGTCTTCTCAGGACAATAGACAGGAAGCTGCTCTCGGCTGCTGGATATTCCACTCCAGGAAAAACCACACTCACAAGTGGGAAGGTACATGTCCGATCAGCAAACTGGGAAGTAGCAGGGAAGAAAAAAGTGATGCAGCTGGGGTAGAGGCATTGCAGTGAGGTGGGGAGATGGGAAAGTTAGGGGCCACCAGGCAGCGTTCAGGCTGGCTGCCCGCCCCAGCCCCAGCCCTATTGAACTTCAGGGCCCCAGGAGTTGACTACGAGGCTGCTGGCCTGGGCTGCTTCTGTGGCATCTGTTTCAGCCCCAGTGCAACCAGTGGCCACCCCCACCCCCTCATCTTCTCTGTTTGGTCTTTCAAAAGGGCTGTTCCTTCCTTCCTTCCTTCCTGACCTTAATCTCCATTTTGGCAGCTTCTTTAAGATTCGCCAATGAGCTTCATCCTGTTTGGTGGAGGCTGCCTCAGGCCCAGGACTGGATCTTAAAGTTTGAGCTTCGCGTGTGTGTGTGTGTGTGTGTGTGTGTGTGTGTGTGTGTGTGTGTGTGTGTTCCACTCCTGCTCTCTCTTTGCAGCCCATCAAACTGCTGCGCTGTAGGGCCATTTGCAGCTGAACCACAGCATGCCAGGGAGCAGCCAGGTTAAGAAAGAGAGGAACTCAAGGGGCTCCAGGGCAAGAAGGGACCCTTTGCTGAAGAGAGCAGACTCCTGAGTGAGCCCATAGTGGCCGCAAGGGATGAACTAATAGGAAAAGGGCACTTTTAAAATAACTGCTCCACTCAGCACATAACTCTGCTTCTACTGGAACTGGAGAGGCTCCAAATTCAGTAAGCAGCAACTGTGAACGGCCCAGAGTGATTGGCCAGACAAACATTTTCCATCCATAAATTTGATCAGTAAAGACTGAACGGGGTTTGTGACATGGTTCCCTACTCAACATATAAGCCTGTGGTTCAGCCACGTCTCTCAGACTTGTGCATGTCTCCCTTGAGCCCACGCAGCCCTGGATTTCCTGGCACTGGAACAGCCTGGTGACTGCCTCTCCCCAATGCACTTAGCTCAGCCATGCAGGGAGAAGCTGCTCTTGGTGCTTGTCCTGAGCCCTTCTGGGAGGTAAAGAGGGCTGAGTCCAGGACGTGTTGCCCCTTCCCTGAGCTGTTTCAGAAAAATGCTGAAAGCTGAACTGTTTCCGAGGATATTCTATCTAGCCAGATTCTGTTTTTATTCCTGAGCTGTTTCATCTCTGAGTTGTATTCTGTTATTTACCTGCCTTAAATGTTTCAAATCTTTATCTGCCAAGAGTCATTTGACTGATGCAATAATAAATCAGTGTGCCAGGCTGCTGCCAAGGGGCTCTCCCAGGGGCCTGAGAGGGGAGAAAGCTGACGGCACACTTCCAGAAGAGGGAAGATAGACGGCTGGCCCAAGTCCTTGGCGCTCTCCTGCTGCCTGCACGAGCTCTTCCCTCCTAGCGGGCTTGGGAGGGTTTATGGGTGAGGCGATGGCTGTACCCATAAAAAGGGCTGGCAAAATGGGCTGGGTTTGTGGATCTGTCCTGGTCAGAGGTAGAGGTGTGGGCTAGTCTGAAGCTTGCAACTGATTGAGCAACCTTGGTCAGTGGATTAATGGCTTTGCATTGTCCAAGAGAAAAGGGGCGCTCATCCTTGGCCCAGACCATTCACGATCTCTTTAAGGGGCCCAGAGGATGGCCTGGGGGGGGGATGGTGGTCACAGTCACAGATGATAGCAAGGTAAGGGTGTTGAATAACACCTTGAAGGACCACGGTGCAATTCAACATGACTGTGACAGGCTGAATGCTGGGCTGATCCAAACTGAAGATCTGCAAATGTGCTGCCTGAAGCCCCGTTCCTGAAAATTGTCATAGCTCTGGGTGCAGGACTGGATTGGCATGTGAGGAGGATACATGGACTGCAGGCTGAACACGGGCAAAGCCTGTGGTGCAGCTGCTCAAAAGTTGATGTAATCTTGGGCTGCATTAAGAGCAGCAGCCTCCAGGCCAGAAGAGCCCATTGTTCCATTGCACACTATGCTGCTTTGGAAACTTTAAAATGGTAGATAGGGGTTCAGAGGGCAACTCCCGGGGCAAGCAGGGCCTGGAGCTGAAGCCCTCCCAGAAACAGAGCAGCTGACTCTATTTGGCTTGAGCAGACCACAAAATTGCTTGTCTTCTCCCTTGACACTGTGGAGATGTAGGCTGAGTCTCAGGAGGGATTTCCTCTTGGGAATCATTGCAGAGTAATGTGAAAATCTTGCATGGATGCGTTCCTCTTGCTGGGGGGTTTCCAAATAGGAGCTGAACAGCCATAAGAGAAAGCTCAGCAGATGCCTGCACCGGGCAGGGAGGGTGGACTGAGTGACCTAGAGCTTCTCTGCTATCTGTCAGTTCTTTAGTTCTCCCAAGGCTTCCTGGATTTCAGGGGGAGCAGCACAAATCTAGGAAAGAAAGGGGACCCCACCATGGTCCTCCTTATGAAATATGACCACCCGAAGCTCTATCATGGTCAGCAGTGGCACAATAACCGTACCTTCCTTTTGCACATTTTACCATCATGCAAAGTGTGCCAAATTTCTCAGCATGGCATTTGGGAAAGGAGTCAATGTTTCCGTGTTTTTGAGTGCAGAAGCTTGGAAGGAAGCCACCGGCAGTTCTTGATGCCCTGGGTGGCAGGTCCTGGCCACAGCTCAAGGGGCTGCTTGGTGGAGCACTTTATAGACCACCCAGTAGAAAATGTTGAACACCAGGAAAGTGAAGGGGAAGACGGCTCGGGAAACGGTGTCGATCCGCTTGGCCCGATCCACATAGCGCCTCCGGAGCATTTCTCCTTCTCGCAGGAGGGGGGCCAGAGGGGGTGGACCGTAGATAGGGCTGTCCATGGCTGCCCCACTTTTCATATGCTGCAGACAATGGCCAAGTCCGTAGTCCTGGAAGTAGAAGCGGCTCTCACGGACCACCTCTTCTTCCTGGGCAGGGGGAGGGAGGAGTAAAAGTGGTTGTCAAGCTGCTGCTGGCCAGGCTAAGACGTCAGTGCCAAGACTGTGGAGTCTTGTGAGGGAGGCGGAAAGTGGGAAGCTTTCTTGAGTTATTTTCCTGGTCTGGGCCCCCCCCATCTAACTGTTGCCCTGATGGTGGCTCTTTTTCCTCTCCTTCAGGGCACTCCCTTCCCTCTACAGCTCCATCTCTGCACTGCAGGGACATGTTCATGGTTGCAAGTTGCCAAGTCCATGTTCCAAACTGAATTATTACCTCAACGAATGGCTCACAATTTCTAGCATTGTCTGTTGTCCTCAGAGGCAGCCCTTTTATTCTAGTGTTCTGGATGCATAAACTACAAACCACCATCTTTCATTGTATCCTTGCTGCCTGGTGGAGAAGAGTTGGGGGGGCATCCCCCGGCAGGGAACGGAATTGGCCCAGGTTGCCTGCACATCTCCCCTTCAGTATGGAACCGAGAAGGGGAGCATCGTACAGGGAACCCCAGACACTGCTCAGTTCATCCAATTTCCAGGTTGCACCTCAAGCCCAAAGCGCTGAAGCTGGAGCAGCAAAGTCACCAGTGTTCAAGGCTTTGGTCTTGAGCACTTCCGTGTCCCCCCCACCTCTGAATGTCAACCCCTCCCTGCCTTCCATTCGACGGATTGGGGCTCTGCTCCGGGGCTATTCCACTCAGCACTCTCTCTTGCCCCCCTCTTTCCTGGATGTAAAACTGGGCAGGCACCCTTCTGCAGGCTGGCCAAGGACAGCTTGAAACTAGGGCCTGTAGCTGACTGATCAAGCACTAGAGGGCAGTTCCTCTCTCCTGACAAGGGCTGGCAAGGTACAACCGCTGCCAAGGGGAAGAAGCTGCTTTTGGTATCATCGACCATGGTCTCCCTCTGGAGCAGCTTCGGGAGTTGGGAGCAGGGGGGGGGCCTCCGTGCTCTCCTGGTTCACTTTCCTTCCTCTGTGGCTGCTCTCAGTCGGTATCAATAGGAGGCGAGAGATCCAGCCCTCGCCCACTGCTTTGCGGGGTCCCACAGGGCTCGGTACTCTCTCCCCTTCTATTTAATGTCTACATGAAGCCTTTGGGTCATATCATCTGTCACCAGGGACTGAGATGTCATCAACAGGCTGTTGATCCCCCAGCTGTACAACTCAGCCCGTGTTGGGTTAGGCGATGCCCTGACCTCCCTCTCGCAGTGCCTGGATGCTGTCAGGGGCTGGATGGGGAGCAACGGGTTAAAACTGAACCCTGGCAAGACCGAGTGGCTCTGGGTTTGGGGTTCTTTGACCCATGGAGAATCGCCACCTTTGGTCTCGGATGGAGTGGCACTGCCCCAAACAGACCCTGTGCGTAATCTGCGGGTTCTCCTGGACTCACAACTCATGCTCAAAGAGTGGGTGGCAGTCATGGTCAGGAGGGCTTTTGCACAACTGTGGGTTGTGTGCCAGTTATTCCCTTTCCTGGACCAACAATCCCTCTTCACGGTCACTCATGCTGTACTCACCTCATGTCTTGACTATTGCAACATGCTCTACATGGGGCTGCCCTTGAAAAGCATCCGGAAGCTCCAGTTGGTACAAAATGTAGTGACCCACATGGTTTTGTGCAGCCCTCAGTGTGCACCTCTTCTGTGGGAGCTGCATTGGTTGCCGATTTGCTTCCGGGTGCAATTCAAGGTGCTGGTTGTCCCTTTGAAGCCCTTCATGGCTTGGGACCAGGTTATCCAAGGGACCTTCTCTTGCCGATCACACCTATCTGACCCACTAGAGCAGGGAGGCAAGGAATGTTGCAGGTTCCATTCCTTAAGGAGGTACATCTGGTGGGATCCAGAAAAAGGGCCTTCTCCGTGGTGGCTCCCTCCCTCTGGAACTCCATCCCCCCGGAGATTAGACCACCCCCCACTCTGACAATCTTCCAGAGGGCCTTGAAGACCTGGTTCTGCCAGCAAGCCTGGGAAACCCAGAGCAGGATGGAGCCCATTAAATGGCTGGTATGAATGTATGTTGTTGCCGGGGTGGGGGGTTATTATTTTATTATTTTTATTACTATTTTTATTTCTTTTAGATCGTGCTTTTATGTAAGCCACCTTGAATTGCCATGTACTAGGCGGCAATATAAATTTTCTGAATAAATAAATAAATTCAGCTGGACTGACATGGACCCCAAGGGAAGTTCCCTTGCCTTCCCAGATGGCATCCAGCAGAGGGGCTGCCCAGCATGCTGCCTTCCTGAACGGATGCAGCTGAACAGCCCTGAGAGAGCAAAACCAAAGCCAGCACAAAAAAGACACTTATTTTTTAAAAAATGTTGCTGTTTCTGACAGGCAAAAGTCACCCAAGGAAGGATGGCTTGACTTGGTAGGGGCTTCTTCCCCCCCCCCACTTCTAACCAATCCCAGGGATATATAGGGAGCACTGGGCCTATTACCTCCCCCCGGAAGCCCCCTGCCCAAATCTTACCCACCATCCTCTGCCGCCGTTGGCTCCTCCGCAGATGCAGGAGCTCCTTATGCTGGCAGGAGACAAAGTTGACCGCTGCATACTCCAGCAGGGCGGCAAAGACGAAGAGCAGGCAAACGGCCATCCATATATCAATGGCTTTGACGTAGGAGACCTGCCGAGGAAAGGGGCGTGGGCAAGCAATTCCCCAGGCCTTCTTGGCTGCTGCCTAAGCAACCCCCTCCCCAACTCCAGCACTGCCATTGTTCTTGGCAACCCTGCTTCTATTGCAGCCCCCCCAGAAAACGCCAAAGACTTTCTAAGGTTCTTCTCATTTGACACAGCAAGGCATGGTCCCAGCCTCACGCCAAGCAGGTACCAAGATGCCAGGAGTGTGGTGGTTCTCCTGCGGTGAATGTTTTGTAGGGCTTTGTCCTGCCTTGCAAGGATCTGGCATGCTCCCCCCAGCTGCCTTGACTCCAGGTTCAGCCCCCCAGTTAGGGACAGCAGCATTTTTTCACTGAGGAACTACATCCACATGGAGGGATGCATGCAGTGGGGCACCCCAAGATTTTCTGTTAGGCCCAGCACTGTTCAACATCTTCATAAATGATTTAGATGAGGGAATAGAAGGGGAACTTATCAAATTTGCAGATGACAACACCCCAGAAGATAGGCTCAAGTTCTGGAAGGATCTCGACAGACGTGAACACCAGGCCCTATCTAACAAAATGAAAAGTGGTGAGAAAAGTAGACTCTTAGGCAAGGAAAGTCAAATGCACAGGTGCAGAATAGGTGATACCTGGCTCACAGTGAGAACTATGGGAGGGATCTTGGAGCCCTAGTGGACAACCACCTAATATGAGCCAGAATTGTGCTGCAAAAAAGCAATGAGGTCCTAGGTTGCATCAACACGGGGATCACCTAAAGTACTAGTACTGCTTCCTACTGCACCGGTAAAACCAGACTTGTAATATTCCGCCTGGTTTTGGTCACAATATAAGAAGGCTATTGAGACTCTAGACAAAATGCAGAGAAGAGCAACAAAGAAGATGAGGGGACTGGAGACTAAAACATGAAGAACGGTTGCAGGAACTGGGTATATCTGGTGTAATAAAAGAGAGGACAAGGGTGACATGCTAGCATCTTCCAATATCTAAAGGGGCTGTCACCCCACAAGAGGGGCTCAACCTATTCTCCAAAGCATCAGAGGGCAGAAAAAGAAACAACAGATGGAGACCAATCAACAAGAAGCCAACAAGAACTAAGGAGAAATTTCCTGACAGGGAGAATGATTAAACAGTGGAATGGCTTCCCCCAGAAATTATGGGTGCTCCATCACTGGAGGTTTTTTAAGAAAGATTGATGACATCACCTAGTTTGGCTAATGAAATGTCTGCAAGAAAACAACCCAGATCAGAGAGCACCAAGGACCCCTCAGATTGGACAGCTGTTAGTCCAGAATGGTCTTGAGCAGGGAGTTGAACCAGCAAACCCTTCCAAGTCTGTTATTCGGTTATTCTGTCCCCAAATGGAGCCGATGGTATCTGCAGGGACTTCAGTCACTTCTGGACAAAGAGAAAAGCCAGACCAAGACTAAACCTTTCTGGCATTCGTTGTTTGCCTCCTAGTGTCGCTTTGGGGTTGGGGAGTGCGCACTCACATTCTAAGGTCAAGTCCCCTCCCCCCTCGCACCAGCTGGCATCTGATCTTCCTCGATAAGGCCCCTTGGCCACCTGCCCAATGAGTAGTTCATCAGTGGCCTTTTCCTTTGGAAATATAAATAACCTGAACAGAGGCTAGAAAAGATGGGGAGGCAACACCCCCAGCATTAGAGAAGGAAGAGACGGGACTTCTCTTTGCGAGGTCAGCTTTGGGAATGCTCAGACCCAGATGGGACTAGAAATCTAAGAAGCATGTTTTTCTCCTCCTTCTCTCACTCCTTTTGGTGAGCCAAAGACAGAAATAGCTGTGGGAAAGATTCCTTGTTCGGCCTGCAGTGCTGGACATTTAAAACTTACCTACATCCGTTTTACCCACTTCGAAATACCCCCTTGATGCTTCTGGCTTTAAGAGGCAAACTGAGGTGTTGTGGCATTCCTGCCTCATTTGCTGTATAAGAGGCACAGCGGTGCATGTAGCACAAGGAAGAGGATTCATTTCAAGTGGTCATTCCTGGGCTTTGTAGCACTGTATACTTCTGAAGATGCACAGAGGGTTCATCAGAGACACCTGGCTCTCCCTGGTAGCCACTGGGTCTGTGGCAGGTGCTTACCTCTCCTGGCTCCCACGTAGGTAACATGGTGGGATAGGGAAGGTTGTCTCCGCTCTTATCAGGGAACCTTCCTGTGGTCTGAACTTAATGACCTCCAAAAGGGGGTGTAGCATGTGCGAGGAAACCAACACTCGCTCCTTCCTTTAGCTCAGGGATGGTGCATGGAGATATTCAGGGTCCTCTCTTGGCAAAATTTCATGCTGTGGTTTGAGGGAACAGCTGGAAGCAGCATAAAAGGGCCAGCTGAGCATAGGAGGGCTCTGATATGAGCTCCCCATCCCACCTCTAAATGGGAATGCTGGGAAACCCTCTCTGCCTGCCCAGAGATACGTGTCCTGGGAAGATGCTCCAGGATCTCCTGCTGTAGGCCCTGACCTTAGGCAAGGATGCCCGAGACCCTGCACTCTGGGTGGTCATTGTCAGCACAGTGGTAATGCCGAGCCCCACTCGAGCTGGTGCCGCATCCATGTTGATCCAAAAGGAGACCCAAGAAAGGATGACAATCAGCAGGCTGGGGATGTACATCTGGATCAGATAGTAGCCCATCTGCCTCTCCAGGTGGAACTTCACTTCGATGCAGGTGAACTGCCCTGGAGAAAGGAAGAGAGCCGGTCACCTGTGGGCCCATTCTCTAGAGGAGCACCCCCTGCACCTCTGAAAAGCACAGGAGAGACTCCAATAGGGAGGTCGTGTTTGGCAATGGAGGGGTGGTGGGGGTGGGTTGGCTGATGCATCAAAGCAACTGTACTCTCTGGCAGAGCTGCTGGGGAAGTTATTGTGGCTTTTGAGGGGGAGAAGGTAATGGATGTGCTCTAGGATCGGTGGGGGGAGGGGAGGGGAGGGGCAGGGGAAGAGGATACCTAATTTTGTCCAAGCCATGATAGCAGACAGAGGTGAAGGGTGGGAGTAGCAGGGGCAAGACCTGCTTCATTCTCCAGCTCCCTGTGCTCCTCCCTGAGGCCAGGGGCTTGGGTCTGTGGGGGCTCACAGGATGCCAGGTGAGCATGCAAAAAACCACCTGTTTCCAGGTTGGGGATAATCTCCCCTGTGGCTTCGGTCTGGCCCCGACCACAATCCCAGGATAGGATGAGGTGACAATTGTCCTCCATGAGGCCTAATGGCTTTCCCAGGCTCTACTCGGCAGATAACGGAATGAGACCCTCTGGCTCCACATGGCCTGACTTTGTTTAAATGGGTCTGTAAAGGCTGGTTCTCTCCCCAAGCTTTGGACTTCTGATGGGATATTTGGTTTGCCAGAAGCTGTTTTCTACTTTTTCTGTGTGTTTCCTTTTTATCCTCTTTGTATCATATTATACTGTTTGCTTGCCTAGATTAATGATAGAGTCAGACAGTAAACAAATGAATGGATGGATGGATGGATGGATGGATGGATAGATGATGAAGGGCAGCATCATGGTAGTTTTTGAGGCAGTCTGCAAACGGGGCCTTTAGCCCTGGGAGGAGCACTGAGCCTCCCCCCACCAGGCAGATCTGGTCACCTGTGTTGTAGGACTTGGTGCAATAGCCCAGATCTTTCTCATCCCGCAGGATAAACTGAGGGAGTGTCAGGCCTTCAGCCACCTGCACGGCCTCCTGCTCCGTCTCCCATTCGAAGGTCAGGTCATTCATGGTGTAACCGACTGCAAGGCAAGCAGAGACAGGCAGCAGGAGGAACCCAGAGAAAGGACAGAGTCACCCATCCCTCTGCAAAGAGCCAGCCCTTCTCTTGCCCCCTCACCACCTTTCATTGCTCCTCCAGTGTAAAGGGATGATGTCCACCTGGCCTTCCATTGCTCAGGTTGCATGATGTGCCCGGGTAACATGGCTTCCAGCTCCATCTTTCTATTGGGCCTTCCAGATCCCTCCTTACTGAACCATCTGGAACTTTTTGGCTACCCTTATCTAGTTATGACATCAACCCAGATTCTGAATTATACACTGATCACCCCACAGAATAGTTAAGTCACAATAAAGATCCAAGATTACTGCTAATGAAGTTCAGCATATTGTGCAAATCCAACCGCTATACCTAATCATGCTGTGTAAACCAGCCTAGTACTCCTTTTACCTACAGCTAATTTGCATTGCCCATCAAATGAGCATAAGTACAGAAACTGTGGCTCTTATGTTCAGCACCAAGGATGCTACAGTTAAATAAAAATACACACAGCTCTCCAGCTGCATGGTGCATGTCTGACTGTCCATAGGGAAGTTCTTGAGATCCATAGGGCAGGAGAGGATAAGAGTCAGCCTGTGGGGAAGAAAAAGAACAGTCAAACAGGACCACAGTGAGCCATATTTTCTGGGTGGTTAGGCTGAACAGGATGTTGTTGAAGCTGATACCTAATGCTATATAGCACACCCCCATTTTTGAAAATGCGTAGAAGCTTGTTGTCTGTAGTGACTCCATGGAAGCTGGCTCCCTTTTCATTGGCAAAGAACAGATCTGGCTTCCAGATGGAGTCCAGCATGGAGGGGTCCAAATCTAGAGAGTCATCGGGGTATTCCCAATAAGTCAGGCGAGGGTCATTCCAGTGCTGCCGCAGAAAGACATTGACACGATAATCCTGGAAGAGCCAAGAGAAGCTGTCACGGGTGGAGCCAAGGTGAGAGAAGGCAGGCATGTTGACAGATGGGATAAGGACTGCAGCAAAGGAAAAGTGCCTGACTGAGGCAGCAGGGAGGGGCTTAGAAGGGGGGTTGCAAGGTGTGGAAATGGACCCAGCGCAGGGCTGTTCTTTGGCTCTCTGGTTGCTCTTGTTCCCCAGGCTCCCACTCGCACCACTGCTCTCCTGCAACAGTCCTCCAAGGCCAGAGTAATCAGGGAGAGTTGTGGCCTATCAACTGTGCCCCTTCTAAAGGCCAAAGGTGCTGCAGTGCTTGGCTGGGTTGAGAAAGAAGGGTGAGGAGGGTGGGTGGGCTAAGCCTTACCATGGTCGTTTCTGTGACTGAACCAAAGCTGTTGATGAAGATGTTGCATGTCACATTGACGGGTGGGCCTGTAAGGAAATTAAAAGAGGACTCATGGCTGGCATGTTATAAAGCTATTGAAGCCTGATAATGGGTCCCAATCAGATAAGAATGTAAGAGCCATTTGGCTGGATCAGACCGAGGACCAACATAGGCCAGGGGAGAAGCAAATGGCTCTTCCAAGCAGGAAACATTCACCACACCTGCAGTTGTAATTTGAGCTCCCCAACCCAGACAGAACACGGGGTCTTCAAAAGCAAGACCTTCCAGTAGAGCAATCCTGTCCTCCATGAATTAATCCAATCCTTTCTGATAGCCATCCATGAATTTATCCCCTGTATGAAGTCAGTGGCCATCACCTCATTTTGTGGGAATAAATTTCACAGTTCAATGATGTATTGAAGGAACAAGTGCTCTCTCTTTGGTCTGCCATAAATCTACTCCCAGTCAGCTTTATAAGGGGGTGGGATGGGGTTCCCAGTTTTAATTTTCAGAGATGGAGAAAACCAACTGTTCAATTTCACTCTGACATCCATGTTTCCTACACCCTGGTTATATCTCCCCTCAGTTGCCTTTTTTATATGATTTTCTTGAGGTGGAGAACCCATACAACTGTTAGATGGAAAATCAAGCTACTGGTCTTCTGAATGCAGAGACTCCTGCCCCTCCTAGGTCTGTCACATAAACATCCCAATATCTATGTCTCCTCAAGATCTCAGGCAAAGGTGCAGAGCAATAAAACACAGGTCTTTCTACCTATCAAGCAGTTGACCCACAGCCACTCCATGAAGTCCAACTACATTCTCAGTCATACCCAACATCCTCTCAAGTTGATCCCCAGGAGAGGAGGGAGGCAGGGGTGAGACCACGCTTCTATTCCTGGATTATCGTGCTTTGAAAGCATCTTTGCTAACTCTGAAAGAAAATGTGAAGATGGCGCAAAGGCCATGGATAGTTGGGCAGAGCAGCTCTTTGAAGGGGCTCTTCCCTCCATGAGGGGTCCACGGAAGCTTCCCTGAAAGGTGCTTTGTGCAGCAACCTGGCCTCCCCTTTTTCAGAGCGAAGCAAGCCAACCAGGAAGCTCTGCCCTTGTTTAAGGCTCCTATGGCCCTGCCAGCTCTTGGGACGGCATGTGCAGAAGCCCCTCTCAGGCTGAAGAGGGGGCAGGAAAGATCTCTCTGTCTCACTGAAGAGTCTCATTTCATTTCTGCCCAAAGGAATCCAGGCTGTCTTGCAGTGGCTCATACCTTACCTTTGAAGTTGGGCCTAATGCGAGCATCGTAGCCTGACGTCCGGCCCATCAGCTTGTCCAGGAAATCGGAAGGAGACATTGGCTGGGGGAGGCTCTGCAGGGCCGATTTGACTTCTCTCCCTGCCACGAATCTGGCGGTGGTAGGGAGGAGAACAGAGGTGCCAGTCTGACAGTCTTCCATATGGACATGCCTTCCTCATGGGATACACATCAAGCAGAAGGCCACATGTGATCTGGCTAATGTATTTTAGAGTGTCATGCAAACCTAGAACTTTTTCCCAGTTGGGGTTGCCTTTCCCTTCTGCAGCAGAAGGAGGGATTTGGGTTTTCAGTATAGATCACCAGCTAGGAACTGCCCTGGACAACTTCAGATGGGGAGCAGGTAGGGATAAACCGCTCCGCCAGGGGCTGAGGGTTTGGGGCCATAAAGACTGCCATGAGCACTACAGTTGATTGTGGAATAATTTGGCCTGAGGAGACCCCATAAATGACAGCATGCCAAAAAGCAGGTGAGGAGGACCCCGGACCCTGGGGCGATGCCTTGCTGGGCTTCTCAGCACAGGGCCCAGCATCTGTGTGGCATGGAAATGCTCCATTCAGCCTTCCTGGAGAAACAGCTACAAGATTCCCTCTCAAGAAATTTGCTCAGAATTCAGAGGGCCAGCTTGGCTAGTCAAAATGCTTCAACCAAACTGCCACTCAACAGACTGCTGAAACCAATCAACACTGCCAATGAAATTGCATCAACTTTCTTCTGTTGCCCCAGGAGCTGCAGTCCTGACGCTCTTCTACCATTCCACAAGGCCCTTGAAAGCTCACATGGCATCAGCACAGCTCTCCACAGCCCAAGAAGCCCCCCTTTCCTGTGGGGTTGCAGGGATGTACACCCGTCTCCTTCCACCCCATTGCCCAGGCAAAGGAGCACCTCAAGGCTCCCCCAGGTCCATTTTACACACAGTTCTATCCTCAGCCTCAGAGACGAAGGAAGAGCACCTGGCCATTTCCCCCCAATCCGCACCATAAATTTTTATTTGGGTTTTTTCTAACAGTTTTAGGAGACCTAAGACATTTCTTCTCAGATTAACTTGCTCCCACTTATAATTGTGGTTATTTTACTTTAATCTCTGAAAAGAAAATGTTGCCTGTTAAAATACAAAGAACAGAGAAACAGTAGGAAAGTTTTCCAATAACAAGAGCAGCCCTGGAAAAAAGAACAAACACTCTGCAAATCCTGAGAGATTCCGAGGGGAAGAGCAGAAGTCCTAGAGCAGTGGTTCTCAACCTGTGGGTCGGGACCCCATTTGGGGTCGAACGACCATTTCACGGGGGTCGCCAAACAAGGCTGTCCGCCATTTTTCCTCCCCTTTTCTTTGGCCACGCCCCTGGCACCCGGTGATGTATAAGTGGTTGGGGGTCACCACAACATGGGGAACTGTATTATGGGGTCGCGGCATTAGAAAGGTTGAGAACCACTGTCCTAGATTTTCCCAGAGCCGAGCAAACCCAGCTGGGTCAGAGCCCAGGTGGACCAGCCTTCTCCTCTGGCCCTAATGAACTCTTGCCCAAAGGAGCAGAAACTGTGGTGTCCATTAATCAATTCAACCTTGAAACGAAGGCTCACGTGAACTGTGCACAGCCTGTTTCATCAAATAACACTTTCTGAAGAAAAGCAAGAAGCGAAGTTGTGAGCAAAGGCCACCAACATTCGCGGCCAGTCGCGAAGCCGGGAGGGGAGGACGAAGGAGCTGCTAGGCGGCAGATGCCCCGGGAAAAACAGCCGCCGAGAGGAAGACCCGCTTCCTAAGCCGGGCAGCCCACCCTTTCGGAGCGGCTCCTTGGCCTCGGAAAACTCTGCTGGCGCTGCCGCGGGGGCAGCTCCAGAGCGAGTCGGACCCCGCCGCGCGCGAGCTTTGCCTGCGGGTACACCGGAGCGCGGGCGAAGAAAGCTTGGGCGGGGAAGGAGAGACCCGACCCGTCCCAGCCTCGGGAAGGAAACGCTCGCGCCGGACGTGCAGCATCCCAGCCGGCCCTCCAAGAAGCCGGGCCCCGGCCGAGACAGGCCCCCCCCCCACTCACCCGAGGAGAGCGCCCGGGAGGAGCAGGAGCGGCACTCGCGTCCCGTGCGCCCGGGGCATCCTCGTGAGGCCAAAGGGGCGGAGGTCGGAGCGGGTGGACTGCGAGGTTCGCGGGGCAACGCTCCAGTCCGGGGAGGCGTGCGGGCATGTCCAGCTGCTGCTATTCTTCCGGGCAGGGTTGGGCGGCGGGCGGCGGCAGCAACAGTGCCGAACCGAGGCGTCCGGACTTCGTCCAAGCCGGCCTTGCCGGAGCCCGAGACGCTTGGCTCACTTCTCCCCGCCTCCAGCGGGGAGGGCGCTGCCCACCCACGCGAAGGACAGCCCCGACGGTCTACGTTTGGCTGCAGGTCCCTCGGCCGCCTTTCGGGAGACAACTTCTCGTTGTTTTGCTGGCGCTCAGCCCCGACGGCGTCGACGGCAGGCGAAGGAGCAGGGGCATGTGCACAGTGCCCCTTCTTGCACGGCTCGAAGGGGATAAGGGCAAGGCTTCCTGAAGCCACCCGCAGTTTGGGCGTCCGCCTCCTTTCCGTCCTCCGGCGCGGACGTCCAGAAGACAAGGAGGGCTCATTTGCCGCCGGCTGGCGTCACACCAGCAAGGCTGTTGCGAAGCTCTTCGTTCACCTCCCAGGACGAGCACAGGACCCCCGGGCTCCCGGGCGCGGCCGGCCTGACGAAGGGGCTGAACCGTTCCTCGCGGAGCAGATAGAACTTCCCGGCCAGACCGGGCTGGGAGTCTTTTCTTCTCTTTCCAGAGGCTTTTTACACATTTCTTTTGACCTGGTGGTGGGCGGACCTTCTGAGCAGTGGCTGGGCTCCCTTCTTATTGCCAAAACTGAGTCCAGAACCTCCTTCACTGCATCGCTTTCTGATATGGTCCTGTGTTCACACATTACTCCTTGGTTCCTTCAGGTTATATACTGTTCAGCTTAGAGGTAACAAGCTGCAATTAAAACAAAGAAAGTTATACCATGTAAAGCTGGAAGGCTCTGCCTTGTCACTCACTCCTGGGGAGTAAACTTTTCAGACCTCTCTGCTTCCAGATTCTTTCAAAATATAATAACATGGCATATTCCAGTCATCTGGAGGGAGCCGATTTTCAGTCTGTTTGGTTTGGCATGGCTTAGCCATAGGCATGGATTAAAACAATTGTGCCAAGAACATTGGCTAATTCTGCATGCCTTAATGGGTATTGTGATGCAACTAATGTGTGAAGGTGTAACAGCCTTTCTAAACTGTGGAGGAGGAAGAGAGCCAGGCTCATCCTTAGAGAGGATCCCCGTAGGAAGATAAGTGCAAGGCAACTTTTTGAGGGAACTTGGAGTCTTGAGGATAACAGCCCCATCCCTGCTTAAAGGGGGGGGAACCTCAAGGTCTGCAGAAATGCCTTTAGAAAAGCAAAGGAAGGACAAACTTCCCCATCCTGCTCAGTGGGCAGAAGGTGACTGGGCCGTTGAGTGGTTAGGACTGGATAGGGTTAGGGTTAGGTAAAAGGCACAACTGTCTGCTTGGAATTCAAAATCTCCCCCCCCCGTGAAACTCTCTGGAACCTCTGGACTCCCCTTCTAATCTTTCAGTTCTCTGGGGGGGGGGAGAAGTAAGAAGAGAAAATCATTCCCAAACCACAGGGGACTCTGAAGAGACAGGAGCATTTGCAGCAGTTCAGGTGAATTCCAAAAAAGATTGCAGTGCTGTTTGTTCTCACTGCAAGGCTAAAATTAGAAGACGACAGCAGGACACTCATTTGTCACTTGGGAGGTGGACCAGCAACTCCAGCTCAAGGTGACAATGCCAGTGGGCCACATGCAGCTCTGTGCCCCTCTCTGCCCTTCCAGTCCTACAGTTTAGTGGACGAAATGCTTAAAGCCGGGAAAGGGGGAATGGGACAACTGTCCTGGCAGCTCGGCTGGCTCTGCATCACCCGGCCCGTATGAGGAATGGCAACACCAGCAGCTCTGCTGTAGCTGCACCTCAGGGTTGAAACATGGGCCAAAGAAGGTATGAAAAGGCACCTCCGCTCCACCTGCACTGGAGCTCTGGGGAGGTATGGGGCACACCTGCCAGCCCTGCACACTCTCACACTCTTTGAGGGCTCCAGGTGGACTCTAGCATCTTTTGGGAAGGGGAAATTCCTGGAAGTGGGCTCCTGGCGGAAGCACCACTTGCCTTGGGATTCTAGCATCTTTACTTCACTGGAAAGGGAAGTTATCACACTGAAGAAAATTGGGTTAAAAATGCTCAGAAATTGGATTTCTAAGAAAGGCTTTATCATGGATTATGGCTATCTAGTCATGATCACTATTATTGGTCTTGGGCTGATCAAATAACTCTTAAGCAGCCATTTTGTATGAATATATTCACCTCTCAGGCCCAACCTGCTTTGGTGACTTGGATCCCTGGGTCCCTGGGGTTTGGCTGCCTGCAGAGGTTGCTCTAGGAAAGGCAAAGGGGTTCCCTGGAGCTTAATTATTCCCCCCCCCCATAGCCCTAGCAGGAGGAAGCAGGGGAGGCAGAGATGCTCTGTCCAGCTGGGAATGCTTCCACCATTTCCTTCCTGCTAGCCAATGCCATGGGGAAAAACTCTTTCATTCTGAGGGATGGGGCACCATCTCAGAGCAGAAGAGACGCCCCATGGGTGCCACCTGAGCAGGAAACGGGCCATCCAGTTTACAACAGGGCAATGCTCCCGCTCCAGCTGCCCGTCCAGTTCTTCAGTGCCAGCGAAAGACAGCAAAGGCCCTGAGTAACCAGCCCAGGCCGGGCATACCCTGTGCAGAGGGCTGCCCGTAGCCATCAGCAGAGTCAGGACCAGCGGCAGGAGCCTGCATGGGTGGGAGAATGAGCCTCCGTTTGAACCAGGAAGGCAGCTTCAAAGCTTTTGCCTCCTCCTGGTGGGCAGTCCTGCCACAGCAGAAATCTCTTCCTGCACCCCCTTTTCCATTCAAAAGGGCAGTGGGAGTATGGTCACCGGCAGGCCCGTGGCCGCACTGAACACCCCTTCCTCGGAGGAGGAGGCAGAGTGGAATCACGTATCTTCTCAGAGCAAGCCCCCTTTGGGCATCTGCCGGGTGGTGAAGGTAAGGCTGGACGTTATCCCATGACTCTCTGACCACTGCCAGCTGCTCCATTTGCCTCTTTTCCCAGCTTGCTGGCAGCACGTTGGTCTTCAGTTTGCAAGCACGACCCAGGCAGCCTGTGCAGTGCTCTGCTGATGAGGAGGAACCCGGAGCACAAAAAAATCTGCTCTTTCTCCCACCAAGGTCATTCCTTGGTGGGAATCACACACCAGCATTGCATTTCTGCAATATTTCCTGAAGAGCAGTGCCTCTTGCCTCACTTGCTACTTGAAGCTCAACACAATCCAAATGGTGCTCTGGCCACGTGAGGTCTTAAAAGCTCCACGTCTATGGAGATTCTCAGCCATCCAGATCATGGTTTCTGCAAAGGTGCTTTTTCAACAGGCAACTGGATTTTGTTTTCCCTTGAAGATGATTCTCTTCTCAGAACTGAAGAAGCTTCTTGTCTTCAAGGCAAAATAAAGAAACTTCAGTTGCCTCTTGAAAAAGCACCTTTGGGTCTCAAAATCCCAGTTTGGAGAGGTGATCTTGGCCAAAATCAGGACTCTTTTGCTCTGTCTTTTGTTTTGGAGCTAAAAATATTCAGGTGGCTTCAGTGGGAATTGCCTGCAGGCTCCAATGAGCCAGAAACAATCAAGTGGGGCCTGAGCCAGGTGGGAAGAGGCTGCAGTCAAAGACATTAAGCTGCCGATGCTTCTCCCTGTCTGGAACTTGGCAGGAACTTCTCTGAATCTTCTATTCCACCCCACAGCCTCTCCTCAGTGCCCTATGGAGTTGGGATGGACCTGTGGTGTTTTTGCTGAAGCAAGGAAATTAAGCTGGTCGAGAAAAGAGGGCCTGACGTCTGTGTTTCCGCATGATCAGAAGTCTGGAGATTCTCCCGATCAGCTCTGTTGGGCCTCAGCTCTTCCTTCCTTCCTTCCTTCCTTCCTTCCTTCCTTCCTTCCTTCCTTCCTTCCTTCCTTCCTTCCTTCCTTCCTTCCTTCCTTCCTTCCTCTAACAGTGATTGGCCCCAATCAAGTGGAGCCCTGCTCTGTACAGCCCATTAGTGCTCATCTCCAGTCCAGACAGATGTGACCCGCCTTCTTGCATCTTCTGCCTTGGGATGTTCTCGCTTGGATATGAGACCAAGTAACGCAGAGCAGCAGCAAAGCCACAAGAGAGAAAGCTTGGGAACTGGAGGAGGCAGCAAACCGAGTGGGACCGGCCAAAGGGATGCTTGGGAAGGCCTACCTGTGCCACTGCCAGTCTCCTGGGCCACAACGTCTGGCCAAGAGGGCATTGTCTAGAGGAGAAAGGGAAGCCTTTGACCGCAAAGAGCAACCCTCTCCTCTTCTGCTGACTGCCAGAGGATTCTGCTGCAGCTTCACTTTCTCAGGCTAAACTTTCCAAGCTTCATAGCCTCAAAGGAGAGCAGCTGGGTGATCGCTAGAGGAGTCTTTCTGTTTTGCCATCCTCGGGATTCAAGGAACTCCGTGTCCACGGTTCTAGCTGAATCCTCTGGCTGGCTGCTGACCAGCTGGGCTCCCTCCAGGGCTGGCTTCTGCCCGAGGTTGCAATGCCTTGATTGCAGAGGCACCAACCTGTCGGGGCCAGGGAGCTCCCCTCCTGGCTTCAGCTGATGACCTGCTCGTTCTTTGAACAAGGAGTGGGCAAGCTCCCTTCAGACCTCAGAAGGATAGAGGGCTGGGACCAGAGAGGGAACACTCCTTTCCTCCCTGTGTCAGGGCTGTCAAGGAGGCAGAGAGGTTCTTTCAGCATTCAGATGGGAGACCTTTTCACCTGGCCCAAGATCTGACTGGAGAACTAGGATCTCTTTGACGCCAGATTGTCTTTCAGACAATATGGCTCTTCCCTGAAAGGATCTTTCCATGCCAGGATTTTGGTTTTGAATGCTGTGTTTACTGAAAATTACCTGGGTACTGGGGCAAGGGAAATGGAACACCTGCAGCTCTGCTGCCTGCATACATAACATGCTAATAGTTGTTAACTGAATCACTGCTTCCTTGCCTGGGTTCATACAAGAAACTGAGCTACAAATTATGCAACCTTATTTTAGTTTCAGATGTTGGGTGAATTCAGCCCCTGTAACTGGGTCACCAAATTGATTGGTTACAATCAATTATAACTGATTATAAGCAAAGAATTGGAGAGTGGAGGAAAGTCTGCTGTCCAGGGAACTGTGGAACCCTCTCATTTTGGATGGATGGAAGGAGGGAGGGAGGGAGGGAGTCTGGTCTCTCTGCCCCCTTGCTTCTCTCCCTCTATTTTAAGTTTCATGTCAGCAGTGAAGTTGCCTTTCAAGGCTTCTTGGCAGTGGGAGTCTGAAGGCCTCCTAGTTGCTATGGCAATTTGTAAGCCCCAAGGATAGAGGAACCAATGGCTGCTCTTGAAATAAGACCGTCTTTCTCATTCCTCTTTCCCATTTTATTTCTGCCAAACGTGTGCAGTGGTGTGCCAGACCCATGGAAGATGCAAGTGCAAGTGTGTGTGTGTGTGTGTGTGTGTGTGTGTGTGTGTGTGTGTGTGTGTGATTTTTGTGCCATCTGGAGTCAAGAGGGAAAGGAGGGCATCTTAACAACCCATCCCTTCCCCCAGGCCCTTTCTCCATTCCATTTTTCAGCACCCTCAGCTTATTAGATAGATGGCTGTGACAGATGCTTTCAATTATAAGACAACCAAGTCCCCCTTCTCCATCCAGACAGGCGCAGAAGAGGAGCATGGGGAGTGGAACCCTGCTCAAGGTGTAAATGTGCTGCTCCCACAAGCAGCCTCCTTCTTCCACTAGCCTACAACCTGCCCCATTTTCTGTCACTCAGGAAGAAACCAGAGTGACTTTGAGTACCTCCGGCGTGCTGGTAGCAGCTGCCTGGATTTTAGGCAAGAATCTTTCTTAGCTGTAGCCATAGAGGCTACCTGGCATCTTTTGCCAAGTGGCACTCCTCCTCCTCCTCAAACAACGGCCACTCCAAGAGCGAGTCTGGGTCCTGAGATCAGCCATGCAAACGAGCCTGGAGCCTCACGACCACCTGCCAGAGACAGACATGAGCTGACTGGGCCCTTATGGGACTCAGAGAGGCTTTGCAGCAGCTGGGGAAATGGGCAGCTGGTCTCCCTCTAGCATTCTGGACTCGGGAAGAGCACCTCTCATTGTGGGGCACGTAATGCTTCCTGATGGTGTTTCGCTCTGCGGCTTTGGGCGGAGGGCTCTGCTCTGCTCTCAGCATCCTGCCATCCTGCTCGCATCCAAGGTCTCCACTTCCTGTGACGATGTCTTCTCATCAGTAGTTTCTGCAATGTGTCTAGAATTAATTGGTGCCTCATATGCAGCTGCCTTCCCCCCTTAGGATTTGGTCTTCCTCCAAGGATGGAACAGAAGAGAGAGAGAAGTTAGCACACTGAGCCACAGAGCTGTGGTACGCTCAATGCAGGAGGAGCGCTTTGCTCTGCCTCCTTTATCTCTTCCTCTCCAGGGTAGGCACGTGTACACAGAGTGGGGTCCCTTCCACTCCAGGAGAGGAGGGGAGGGGATGTTGCCTACCTACCGAATCAGAGTGCCCTGGGAAGGTCAGCAGTAGCCTTCAGTGTGGACCGTCCTTAGTTCAGCCCCAGCAACATTGGGGGGGCACTGATGAGAGGGGGCAGGTACAGCTGGAGCTCTCTTGACTTGGCACCCTAGAAAGGCGCTTCCTGCCTGCCTAAGAAGCAAGGGAGTCAAGGAAAGACACCAGCCTGTGCATCCCCATGCCTTGGGGCAGAGTGAGAGGGGGGGGGTGGCTGCTTGCTTCTCCCTCCCTCACCACAACCTACATGGAGACAGCTAGATTGCAGAAGGAAGCTTCTCATCAAAAACTCTTCAGACCTTCTACCCACCGGACTGGACATCACAGCCTAGGAGTCCCTGGAGCAGCAGCACCGGCAGTGCCCTATAAACAGTAGCTCGTTCTGCTCGACGGCTGCTGCTGCCCCCTGCCGGTCCCAGATCGGCAAAGTGCTTGCGCCGGGATAAGATGGGAATAGCGGGGCGAAAAGGTTTCCCTGCAGAGGAAACCAGAGGCCCCCGGAGAGCAAGCGGACGCGCTGGGTTCGAGAACTCTGGGGAGCAAGGGCGGAAGGCAGGGAAGGGGAGGCAAGCAGGGCCGCAGCATCGTGCCCCGCTCTCCCGCCCCCCCCCCGCTCCCTTTGGAGCAAGTACTGCAGCGGGAGACGGTGTTAATCCGGGAGAAGAAGAAATGCTCGGTTCACTATTAGCTGATGTCTTAGCACAAACTGCTGGCATTTCAAAGGAGGTTTTTTAAAACCTTTAAAATTAAGTCAGAAGAGTTAAAATTACTGGCTTATATTGTGTCCTCCCTCTGCATGAACAAGCTTGTGCCAGTGAAATATTCAGAAGTGGCTGCCTTTGCTCGCTTCCCAGGGTGAAGAAGGGGTTCCTGGCCCCGGTCACCCACCTGGCTTCATTCCAGCTCTACATCACTGCCTTAACTCAGGTCCCCAACCCCCGGGCTGTGGACCAGTACCAGGCTGCAGCATGCCAGCAACGGGTTCCCACAAGCAAGCAAAGCCCCATCCGTGGGATGCAGGCAGCACACAAAACCACGCACCCTCCGGTCCGCAGAAAAACCTCTCTCCACGGAACTGGTCCCTGGTGCCCAAAAGGTTGGGGACCTCTGCCTTAACTGCTTCCAAAGTAACCTCCCTTTTGCGCTTTCCCTCATTTATTTGTTCCCTTCACTTTGCTAGATTTGCTTGGTGTAAGTTAACTGCAAACAGAAGACAGAGTTGAATCTTGAATGGCACAGGAGATGGGGACTCCCCCCAGATAGCCTCCAGGGCCCAAACTCCAGCCTGTTGGGCCTTTGCCTGCTATGAAAGAGGTCCATTGCACAGTACAGATTACTTCAGACTTTGGCAGTCTCTGCAGAGAAGACTGGAAATATGGAGAGATGCTGCTAGAAAAAATTAGCCATAGAAAGACCAAAGTGAAGCACAGTTATCAGAATTTACAATCCTCCCCCCAACTGTTTGTGGGGAGCACCAGAAGAGCCCAAAGCTGGATCTGGCTGCCCTTTCGGTTCCTATGGTGGTCAAAGGCGTATCGCAAAGAGGGCCCCACAAGGCTGTTGGGAGCACATGAAGAGCAAACTGTGGTTTGTGCTATGCTAAGAAATGCAGGCATCCACTGTCCAAAGGAGGGTTAAGAGAGAGGGGAGAGTCCAAGGGGTGGAGCAGATGAGGGGGGGCTGGCTCTTTAAGGGGGCTGGCTGCCAACCCAAGAGCCTTTTTCTTTGCTGGTGAACAGGACAGGAGAGTCACCAGAAGGAAGGAAGGAGAGAAGGCATCAGGGCACCACCGAAGGCTTCTTCTAGCTGAGCAGAGGCAGAAAAAGACCAAAGGTACCTTGACTTCATCCTGAAACCATGGGTAAGTTGGCAGATCCAAGGAAGCCTCTAATGTCTAATCCTTCTCGTTTTGACTCGGCTGACTCCGTTGGGGAGAACCTGTAATTAGGAAGCTGGGCTATTATCACCATATTGCTGTCCAAAACAGTGCTGGGCTGTAGGGATTTAATGCCCTTTGTTTTGGACACTCGGGATCTTAAATTTACTTAAACTTAAAACTGCCCAAAATGTCCCAAAGAAAGACTGGCAGTGACTGGCAAGCCACTTAGGAAATGTCTCCTGAATCTCCCTCCAGGCTCAGCGTTCGCTCCTGTGTGGCCTTCTGAGTTTGACAGAAGGGGGTCTTTCAGGAAGGGGGTCTTTGTCACTGAGCTGGTGACAAAATCTCCTTGGGGGTCCAGGAGCACCACAGGAGAGCTCTGCACAATCAAGGAAAGGTTGGGATCAGAGTGAGTTGCTCTCAAAGAGAAGGGAGGCTGAGTTCCAAGGTGAAGCTGCAGAATGGGGGGGGAGGCAGGGAAGAGGGGTCTGGGTGGGGGAAGGGAGGCCAGAGAAGACATCCATATGTGATGTGTGTTGATCCTACCAAGCATTCACTGGCTAAGCTTTGTGGATCTTTTCATTTTAAAAGCTCATAGAAGGAGGTTGCCATGCTCTGCCAGACAGGAGTTTTTTCTACAGGGACACCTGACTAATCTCAAGCATCGTCACTGTCATCTTCATCTTCATCATCACCTTCTTCCTTCTCCTACCGGAATGTGCATCCCAGTGAACCCCCGTCTGGCCCTTATTCTCCTGCAGTCTGGCCAAATTAGTTGACATCCTCATTGCTCGGGCAGAGTCTCTGAGCTCCTTGGCCACAGCAGACGCCACATGATGCCCCCTACTGGAGAGGTAGCTGGCAGGTCGAGCATCTTCCAGGCCTCTTAGGACACCTGGGAGCTCTCAGCAACTCTCCACTTCCACTTTCCCCGTGGTTAGTGGGTGCAGCTTCTCAGTCCCCCACCCAGTTCCCAAGGTGCACAGGGATGCTTAGCTCTTCTCCTGCCCTTTCCAGGTTTCCTGATGTGCTGTAAGGTGTAAAACAAAACATCAGTACAATATTAAATCATGAATATATGGCTGTAAAAATAAAAGGGACACATAAAGTGACATTTTTCTGCTTTGGAACAAGCGTAGCTCCTGGGGAATTCCAAGTGGAGGGGAGGGGCCCCCATGCACAGCCCAGAAGACAAGGAGTGATCCTTATGCTTGCCAGGCTCCTGCAGGCGGTTTACCTGCTCCTGGCGTTTCATACCGTTCTTCCCCACACATACACATATTTCCCTCCGCACAGTGTCTCCTCCCCCAGTATTTTCCCCATCAGTCCAAAAATAAAAATAAGCCAAAGATGTGCACTGGAAGGAGAAGAAATAAGAAGGAAAGATTACAGGTCCTCCTGTAGATCCAGGAATTCCTTACAATTTTAGGTAAACTCCTACATCAGCAGAGGGGCGCATTGGACCTGTTCTGCAGTCTAGGATCATGGCCACCCACAGCAGTGCCTTCTCTCAGTGGGGATTTAGCATGGAGCAGGGAGTTGACTGGATGACTTCTAAAGTTCCTTCCAGATTGGAGAGAGAGCATAAGGTGACCAGAGGAAGACAGGAGAGGCCATTCTACCACTCTGCACCAGTTCTCTGCTTGCTGAAAGATGCCTCCTTTCCTTCCCACAACACTTAAGAGAAAGCTCTCATTTCTCCCTCCCCCCAAACTACTTTTGGCGCCTGTCAAAATAGCTTTGGAAAAGCAGCTCCAAGCCCCCCCCCCCAATCTCTGCACCCACACCTCTTCTTCCTCCTGCTGGTACCAGCCAGAGCTCCTCTGGACTCAACACAGCCCTATGTTGGGATGGTGGGGGTGGGGGGCATCGTTGAGCTCAGGCCTTGGGGAGGCTCATCCTGGTTGTCTTCTTGTGTCCATTGTTCTGCCCTGAGCACAAGGCTGGAGATTGTGTTCACACAAGGGCCTCTTTCTGTCATCTTCTCCACCAGCCTCCTCCTCCCCTCCCACCAAGAGCCATTATGTAAGCTTAGTGGGCCACCCCTGAGGCTGGTGAAAGGCAAGAGGCGGGCAAGAGACCAAGCCTGGGGCCAGAGAGGGACCTCTTGTCCGCCACGCTGCAGCTGTGGCTCCCTCTAAGCCACCAACCTATCCAAAGTCCGGCAGAGAGCAGGGGATGCTTAGACCACAAGCTCTCCCAGTTTGGGTCCTAACTGAAAGCAAGAAATTTATTTAATTTTATTTATTATTTATTCATTTAAAATATTTACATGTACATTTACAATGTATAAAATGCAAGGAATACAGGAATGATGAGAATAGAAAGCCAGTGCTGGCAAAAAGAAAATGGGTCCCTGAAAGCCAGCTGAGTGACTTTGGGCCAGTCCTTCTCCCTCAGCCAAACCCACCTCACAGGGTTGTTGTTGTGGGGAATAGGAGGAGGAGGACGGTATGTTAGATAGGTTCGCTGTCTTGAGTAATTTGTAAAAATAATGAAACAGGATATCAATCAATCAATCTCATGCTGGAAGCAGATCCAACAGAGTTGGACAATCCTTCGCCTTTACCTACATATTTTATTAATCCCAGTTTTTTGCTTAGATATTGAGTTTAGCCAGCAAGAGCAAAACAACAAAACTCCTGAAGTATCTGTAGCCCAGTGTGCTACCCCCCAGAGTGGCCGAGCAGAAGCCCCCAGGCAGGCCAGGTGATCCAAAGCATGGTCTGCTGCGCCCCAAAGGGGACACCATCCATTCACAATCCCCCCTGTGGGTGCAGGCCACCCCTCTTCGCACACGGCTCCCCTTGCTCCTTCTCATGGCTCAAGGCCCCAAAGTGAGCACCCCAGTCAGGCCCTCAGCAGTCCCACTGGGCTGATTCCCTTCGCCGTCTTCTGCCTTGCCTTCAGGCCAGGTAGGGCCCCTCCTTGCCCCCTTGGAACCCTGGTGGAGGAAGCTTTGCCTGAAGACAGCCCCGTCCCACACATGAAGGGGCTGCGGAGGTGTGATGCTAGAGGAAGGAGAGGCAGAGGACTTTTCATGGGTGCTCAGGCTTCCTGCCTTAAAACTCAAGGCCGAGCCCAAGACACCCTTCCCGAAGGACAGCAGGAGAGGATTCAGCCAGACAACCCTGAATGAAGCAAACCAAGTCTCTGGCCAGGGGCTGCTTGTCCCCTAGGCAGAGACGGGGCCCTGCTCTCGTGGCACTGGTGGGACAGTGGGGAGAAGAGGCAGAAGGATGAGGGCACTTAGAGTTCTCGGGCAGCAGGATGGTAATCATGAGCCTTTTGGCTGCACCACGCCTGTCAGATGCCGGTCCCAAGTGGGAAACCTGCTGGGTTGAGGACTCCGGCACTTGTTCTACACCCCACTTGGGGAGAACGGGAGAAGGCTGGTCCCAAAGAAGGGCAAAGAAAAGAGGGCCCCATTGTTCTTTGCTGATCCCCCTTTCCTCCCCAGCCAGGGCAGAGAGAAGAGCCTATCCAGCCTGGAGGGGAGAACAAATCCCCCTTGTCCTCCTCCGTGCCACCCAGAGATCAGTACAGCTTGCGAGACTGACCCTTGGCCCAGCAGCTTCTGATGGGCCCATTCTTCAGGGCTGAGAAAACACCCAGGGACAAAGAGGGAGTGGAGGAGGAGGAAGAATGGGGAAAGCGCCTGGGGGGGCAGATGCTGAGAGCTGGCTAAGCGGGGGAGGGCTGACTCTCCTCTCGATCATCTCATGGTGGAAACCCAGCAACCGAATTGCCGTTGGAAGTTAATATGGGGTGGGGGGACTTTCTGCACTGCATAGAGGTTTCTCAGGTTTACTGTTGTATTTTTTGTAATATAGATAATATTAGTGAAGTGCCTGAGCCAAAACCCCAGAGCCAAACCCATCCACCACCTTCCGGTCCTCAGAATCCCAACCTGGATCCAGCTGCACAGGCGAGGCCTCCAGGTAGCTGCCCTTCTCTCAATCTGCCCTTCTGAACCTCACCCCCAACAGTCCAAAGCAACGTGCTCCTCCTTGGCTCTTTGGCCCCCACAAACACCAGCCTGGCCAGGAACTCTGTCCTGCTTCTCTAGGACAGGTTTTCTGCTTCCAGATGGAGCCTGGAGTTCTGAGCGAGCTCTCAGCTGGCCTCAGCAGGCAGATGATAGCAGCTCTTAGGAAGTCGAGGGCCAGTTTCTGGCCCAGAGCAGAGAGCAAAATTCCATCTTGGCCTTCGCCTGTGTCCATCACCGATGGTCAGGCACTTCTCCCTGCCAATGAAAATGCTGGAGGGAGGGCCGAGCATGATCCAGTTAAGAGGAAATGCAGAGTTCCATGTCCTCAGGTAGACCCCAAGAGCCTTCCAAGGCGTGGGCCAACCAGTCCAGCGCCCCGGGAATCGAGCCACGTCTTGGGTTCAGCTCGAAAGGCGGCCGTTTCTATGTGACATCTCCGCTAGATAGAAGGGCCAAGAGGCCACCATCTGAATAATGGTCCCACAGGGCTGTCTGGAGCCATTAGAAGAGGCAGCCATCAAACAGACAGAAAGTTAAATGAAACAGATATGTCAAGATTTCAAGATTCTGACCAATCTAAAATTTAACCTCTTTGCCAGGCAGGGAAAAAGTCAGTACTTGATTTAAATCTTGCTAAATATCAGCCAGCCTGCTAATTGTTCTTCACAACCAGAAGTGTTGCCCTTCCCTGCCCCCCCCCCGAAAAACAATAAACAATGGTGACATTGTTCCTAGAGCAAATTCTGCTTGAGGGAGTCCTCCTATTTCAGTAAGTGTTGGTTTTAAGATCAGCAGAGATAGGACGAAAACTAAAACATGTACCGGAAACCAGATGAAACTAGAAGAAAAATATCTGAAAGTGGATGCCCCCAAATAATCAGCAGCCCTGTGCCCAAATGCATGTCCCGGAAGAGGAGGGTGCCCCCTGCCAAAACAGTGGCAGTAGAGGTGCCCCCCAGGCCTCTGGTCCTAAAGTCTGTGGCTCTTTTCCAAGAGAGGCTGCTTGCCTCTTTCTTGACCCCCTACCTGCAGGAAAAAATGGTGAGGCCAGTCATTGATCAGGAAGCAAATATGTGAAGGGGATGATGTGGCTTTTAGTGGGTGTGGCCATGGCTAAATTTCTGAGGTTGGTATCCCTTGATTGACGTTACAGCTGGCTTTTTTGAAAAAAACATTGTCAACCTCTTTGAATGCCCCTTGGGAGAAAAGCAGGATGCAAAACTAAAAACTGTCCTTTGGGCACTTTTTGTAAAACTCAGCAACTTCTCTGGTAGCACATTCTGCTCTGTCTGCCCCTTCCCCCCTCCCCCCTCCCCAGTGCTTGCTGTTCATATTGATCCAGGATCAGTTGCCCCACAGATTTGGATCCAGTCTCAGCTTGACTTGATGCAGCCTCTAAAAGTTCTCTCTTCTCTGCACAGGGCAGAACATTTCTCCAGCTGCTGCTACTGCTGCAGTTGCTGGGTCTAATGGGCACTCTCTCTCTCTCTCTCTCCCCTCTCTGCCCAGGTTTGTTAGAGTGCTGCGCCAGGTGCCTGATGGGAGCCCCCTTTGCCTCCCTGGTAGCTACAGGGCTGTGTTTCTTGGGAGTAGCCCTGTTTTGCGGCTGTGGCCATGAAGCGCTCACGGGCACTGAGCACCTGATCGAGACCTACTTTTCCAAAAACTACCAGGACTACGAGTACCTGGTGGACGTGTAAGTACTCGCCTTTAGGGCTGCATTCTCTGGGCAGGGCAGGGGGTTAGCACAGCCAGTGCTTCCCCTCAACCAACCTCTGCTCCTGCAGCGGGCAGCGTCTGCCAGAGCAGAGACCCTGATATTTCCCTCATCCTGTCTTCCAAGAGGGAAGTCAGATGCCTGGGCCACCCTGCGCTGGGGGTTGGGGTTGGGTATGATTTTCAAAAAAAGAATGACCTAAAATAGTATTTAAAGTTAGAAATTTTGTTAAGTTTATTCAACTGAAAATATAATTGTACTCCACACACACGAAGTTGAAAAGTAACTTAAATCTGAATATAATATGCTAATTTTATAAATCAGCAGATTTTATAAATTAAACTTCATTCTTTCAAAAATCTTACAAATTTTTACAGATCTACTGTACAATAGTAGATAGCTGCAGTCTAGCTCTCCATAGGGAGCTTCCCCCCTCCTTTAAGCACCCTTTGCAAAGCCCCCTTCCCGTCACCAGGGAGCGTGATCGGGAGACAGAGCCTCGTGCCCAGGGGTGATGGCCGCCAGGTGGCTGCAGACGCTGAGACTGTCACTCACACTTCTTGCACCAGCATTTCAGCTGCAGCTGCACAGACTGGGCTCCTTTCAAGGGTTTACTCAGCCACCTCACCCAGCACCCATCTCCTCAAAAGCTGCTGGGAGTGTAGATACGCCCAGGAATGAGGTCAGCCTGAGTGCCAGTCTGGCTGGGCCAGCCCACGGTCAATTGTGGCCAACCAAAGGAGGGAGTGGGGTTTGCTCACTGATCCTGGACTGGTAAGGGTAAAGTGGGCATCAAAGGCACTGCTGGAGGTCTCCATGGCAGCCAGGGCCCAACTGGCAAGGCAGAACTCTATAGGGCAGCAGCCAGCCTTGCCGTGTGTCTGTGTGTGTTTGTGTCTGTGTCTGTGAGGCAGGCAGAGCCCCATGACCCAAAGCCAAGCTCTGCCAGGGAACTCCTGTCTGCAAAACAAGGCTCTCCCTGGCTTCAGGACATGCCTTTGAGCAATACTAGGCTGCTGCTTGGACCAAGTGCTCTGCAAAGCCTGGTTCCTGGGGCGGCCTCCGACGGGGGCCCTACCCTTCTCCCGCCTCTTGAACTTGGCCTTCCTTCATAGGATCCACGATTTCCAATACGCCATTTACGGAATTGCCGGTTTCTTCTTCCTCTTCGGAGCCCTCCTCCTGGCCGAAGGCTTTTACACCACCGGCGCTGTCAGGCAGATCTTTGGCGACTACAAGACCACCATCTGTGGCAAGGGCCTCAGCGCTACGGTAACAGGGGGCCACAAGGGGAGGGGTTCCAGAGGACACCGTCAAGCTCACTCTTGGGAGCTGGTGTGTCACTGTTTGGGCAAATGGCTAGGACATCCTGACAAGGTGATTTATCTGCAGTTTGCATCTTCTGGGGCAGGTTGGCTGGTCTGGGCATGGGCAGACAGGCATGAGACTGCAACCCTGGTCGGCCCAGTGACTGGTCCTGAGAAGGCTCCAGGCACAGGCAGAGCAGCTGCACTGAACAGACAGTGGCATCTCAGAGAGAAAACCGCACAGGATGGCAGCTCCCCCACCCCCATCCCTCCTTGCTGCCCCTCCTCATACCTCCCCAGCTGTCCCATTGATTTCGGCCTCTGCCCGCGCTAACTGGCTCACTCATCTCACGGGCATCCCTGCAGGGCTCCCTTCCCTCCCCCTCCTCTGCTCCCCTTTTTGCAAGGAAGACCTGGAGGATTGAGCCACAGCTGCCTGACAGGCGTGGGGTCCTCACCGTGAAGCACTCCAGCTGGAGTGCCTCAGTCATGCCAGCCATGTTGCAGAAGGTGGGAGGCCGAGATACCAAGCATTGATTGAATGATGGGGAAGGCCTCAAATGGGCACTTCTGGGCGATATTTGACCTACCAACTGAAGTGCCTGTGGCATGGGGCAGCTCTGCCGTCGGAAGCCCTGGCCTTCCTTGAGGGGCCCCAAGCAAACTCCTTTCCAGGGGGAGGGACAAAAAACAGCCACATGGGTACAGGGACCTAGAGGGACTGGAGGTGGGGGATTGCTGCGGACAGGTGGAGGGGCATTTGCCAAATGAATGAGGGAGCTGGGGTGGATATGAAGCACAGCCACAGGTGTTGCCTAGGAATGCCCATTTGCACTGGGAGGCCCCCAGCAGCTTCCCTGGCTCAGACTAGGACAGAGCAAACCAAGTGCTGTTTTCTTTCAAGATCACTTCTGCACCTCTTGAGCAGATGTTCACCCTCAGGCTCACACAATACGCCTTCTTGCACTCACCTAAATGTAACACACGTTTCACCTCCCCTTACAGACCCTCACCTCTCCAGCCTGGAAGCACACATAGCAGACCATGGGAAGGCTGGTTCCCTGGATGTTATCAGCAGGCTTCTGAGACACCCGTGCATACTGAGTGTGCCTTTCTTTGAGCATCTGCCCCAGCCGGAAAGGGGGGGGTTGGCACCCGGGGAAAGGGGCTCTCTGCACAATCAAGCACGAACTCAGACACTTGCGGCTGTGGTCTCAAACCAACAGTAGTGTGTTCAAACAGTTTGGCCAGGGTGGGGGTTGCACTTTGCAAGGCAGAGAGCTACCTTCTTCCTTTCAAAAAGTGTCCAAAGGGTTGATGTGAAGGGTGAAAGTTTGTGAACTGCAGCTGGGTTCAGTATAAAGCAGCCACTGGAGAGCAAAGTGCAGGTGGCAGGGATGAGGGAAGGGACCTGCTAGCATTCCGTTTTTAAAAGTGCACAACTTAAAATGCACAGCTGCACTTAAAATGCACAGCTTTCTAAATTGCATGAGGTTAGCTCATAAATCAGATTATATGTGTCACTCAGGCACAACTCTGCTCCCTATTGTCAACTGCTATGGCACAGCAGACCTTCAGCCTTTTGAGAGAAGATTGCAGAGCATCGATTGTGCTGAGAGGCCCTGGGTGGGAGAGGAGAGTAAGAGCTGTGAGCAGGGGGGGCTGCAATCCCTGGCAGTCCCATTGGTGTCAGAGGGGTCTCTCCTTCCCTTTCCGGCAGAAAGAGGTGGGGAAGTCGTCTCAGACTGCAGATCTCCAGTCTCATGCTCATGGCCAAAGGTTCCAAGCTGACCAGCAATGACCCTGCCTGTTCTGACTGTTTCAGTTTGTGGGCATCACTTACGTCTTGGCCGTCCTTTGGCTTCTGGTCCTGGCCTGCTCTGCTGTGCCTGTCTATGTCTACTTCAGCACCTGGACCACCTGCAACTCCATCGCCAACCCCACCAAGACCTCAGCAAGTATTGGCAACCTGTGTGCTGATGCCAGAATGTACGGTGAGTAGCAAAAGCAACTTTCTTCCTAAAAACAGAGTCTTCTAAACAAGATCAAACCATCTAGAGGCTGCACAGGCCTGGGTGGTTCTCTGGCTTTGGAGAGCAGATGGCCACTCATCCGAGTCTGTCTTGGGAACCCAGAAGTCCCTCCCTGCCAGAGGCATATAGGAAGGTTGCTCAGGCTGGGTGCCCTTCCTGAGGAATGGGGAGAAAGTTGCCTTCAGGAGACTGGAATGGCTATTTCCACATCTGGTGAAATCTTGGTTTGCTTAACTATGGCTTACAGAAACAGATGCAACTGGCAAAGTTCATGGAACTCACTAAGCCAAAATCAAAGCACTGAATATTTTAGTGGGTTGTTAAACCTGGATATGGTTAGGCCTTCTGGCTGCCCCCAGCCCTCTCCCCAGAGGAGCTTGTTCGGGAGAAGCAGTCCAGGGGGCTCTGGCCAGGGTTTCAGGCCAGGGGCTTCCCGTGTCTGTCTAGTCCTCCTGGCCTGCTGGGTGTAGGCTGCTCTGTGCTCAGGACTTCTCGTGCTCCACCCAGGTGTGCTGCCCTGGAACGCATCTCCGGGAAGAGTCTGCGGCCAAAGTCTCCTCTCCATCTGCAAGACTGCTGAGGTGAGTGTCTTCTGCTTCGCAAAGGAATGGAGGATGGATTTTCCCAGCAAACCAAAAGAACCAGAGAGAAGGTTCCTTGAGGAAGAAAAGGGGTTTTATTAATTATTTCTTAATCAAATTTAGATACTGCCCATCTCATTGTCTCTGGGTGGTGTAAAAGTAAAAAAAAAAACAAAAAAACAATAAAGTCCACATAAAAATATGTAGAAAAGTAAACCAAGTTTAAAAGACCCTCAAGCCCCCCATCACTTAGGATTGGGTCTCATTCTTGGATTCCGTGCCAGTTGTCAAAGCCAGGTCTTCACACTCTTCCAGAAAGCCAGGAGAGCAGGGGGGGGGGCAACTTCAGCTTTGGGGTCAGAGGTTTGCTAGAGCAGAGAAGGAAGAAGAGAAATTTAGTGCAGGAGCTGATGGCTGAAAGGGAGTAGAGGCCAAGGTACCTATGGACTGATGTGATTCTGACAGAAAAATGCAATCAGATGACTGCCCATTATTCTTTCCATCAGTTCCCCACTGACCATTCTCACATTGCAAAGATCCATTGGGACCTTCACATTTGCCCTCCTCAAATCAAATTACTACTAACTTGTAATTCATTAATTGGCAATCTGCTCTTTGTGGATAATCCATTGTGTTCAAGACAATCAGCAGATTACAAAAAAACCCGAGTTGAGTCACCAAACACATTTTCGTAGCTCAGTCACCTACTGCCTTCTAGTAGAAACCATCAGTGTGAAGACAACCCATATTCCCCGAGGATGGACTCCAGCATTAGTCCAAAAGCTCAGAAGATTAAACCTCTGGTTCCTCTGACTAATCCAGATTTAGTTCTTAAAACAATTCATATTATTTATATGGATGGACAAAATGAATGTAAGATACCATCTGGGCATTATTTTGGAGGTGACACTCACTTTTATATGTGAACAAGAAAGGGCCCACCTGCAACTTTGAATATTCAGATGGATAAGATGAATAATCCATCTGTCATCTCTAAGACCAGCCTTGCTAGATCAATGGAAGCCTCTTTGGTGCAGCAGTTGGTTGACCATCTAGAAAAAGGTGCTGCCTTCTTTGGTCACAAGCCAATACAAGCCCACCTGTGTTTCCATGGATAACCTTGGCCAGACCTTCAACTTCTGGGTTCAGTCTTCCAAGGGACTGAGATCTTCTTGATCCCCCATTCTCCAGAGATCTGGGGCTTAGACCTGTGTTATTTGCTTGCAGTTCCAGATGACCTTTCATCTCTTTATCGCCGCATTCGTGGGGGCTGCCGTTACTCTTGTGGCCCTGGTAAGTCTAGCCAACGGTCCCCTCAATCTTTTTCCTTTGATTCAAGGGTTAGGGTTAGGGTGTGTTGCTGTTGCTTTCAATCCAAACATTCAAAACAGCAACATTTTCAAACGACAGCAATGTTGAAAGGAGCTTCACAGTTGCAGCTGGGGCTGTTGCTGTGTCTTCTGCCAGGAAAGAGTGTGGGCAGGGCTGGAGACCTCTAGGCAGGTGCAGAAGCCTGAAGCAGTAGGGCCATGAGGAGAGCTTGGGGGGAGTCTTCCACAGGCCCTTTTAATCTCACCTCCTTCTTCCCACTTTCTGCCCTCCAGCTCACATTCATCATTGCTGCCACCTACAACTTTGCAGTCCTCAAACTGATGGGAAGAGGCACAAAGTTTTAAGCATGAGTGAAAGAAGAGAGGCATTACCTTCACCAGATGCTCTTCCTCCTCTAACTACCAGGCTTTAACCCAACCAGGCAGTCACACTGCACCAGGCCTCCTCCTCCTTTAACGCCACCTGACTGCCCTCCCCCCTTGTGCCAATGAAGCAGGCTGTGTCCCAAGGATGGAGGAGTGTCACACTTCTTCCTGCTCTTATCTTCCTGTAGCTCTCTGGGCTCCCCTGGGACCACCCAACTGGGGGCTCTCTGCCTCGTACCGGGAGAAAGAGAGAGCTGGCAGCTCCAAAGGAGGAACACGTGGTCTGGTCAGCCGGCTGAGCTGCCCTGAGAGAGAAGGAAGCAGGGGAGCCAGCAATGCTAGTTCACCAGCTTTCTCCTGAGGTGGCACCAGAGGCGGCGGAGAACAAAAGGTGCCCCTAGGCCAACCGCCCGTCTCCTGGGCAAGAGGGCTTAGAGCCAGGATCTTCCCAGGAGGGAAAGAGAGCACTGAGCCTCTGCCTTGTTGACAGGTGCCCTTGCCCACTGCCCCAGCCTCCCTGAGTCCCGAGGAACCTGGGGAAGAGGCCCTTCTGTCCATCCTTTGAGGAGCAGGTAAAGCCAGGCTGGTTGGCTCCAGCCTCTTTGGGCCACACCAGCTGGGCAGAAGTCAACCTTATCTTAGGAGCACCCATAACCAGAAGCTTGAGTGTCTAATGCTAGGAGCTCCTTCGTTAGAGGAAGGGATCGTAACCCTCAGCTGGGTGCTTTCCCTTTTGCCACTTGCTGTGGAACCCAAAGTCTCTGACCATCACATTGGTGCTCTTTTCTCCCAGTGACTGCTGCTTCTTTCATAAGTGTGCTTCATTAGGGATCATTTGCAGAATATAACCTGTATTCATTTTCTTGTAATTACTCTTTCCAATTTCTGGCAAGCTGTAAACCATCCCAGTTATATGGAGCCTCCTATCTTGGTTACTTGGTCCAAATAGAGAGGTAAAAGAAGAGAAACGCACTGAACATTTTGGACATGATTTCCATAAAACAAAACTGCTTCAGTTTCCGTGGGAAAGGAGTGTCCCTGAACTTCACACAATTACATCAAGTGGACAGAAGAGATAGACTGAAAGTGTCACCGAAGCTCTCCCTGGCACCCCCTGGTTGGAAGATGGGCTTCTTGTCTGGGGGCTCCCTGGGCAACCAGGCTCAGCTAGCCAGCACTGGGCTCCAGCCTTGGGGGTCTGTGGCAGCAAGTGGGGAGAGACGGCCAGGCAGGGGCCAGTTCCCTGGATGGCTAACAATCAGGGCAGCCCTGCTGAGCAGGCTTGGCCCAGGCAGCTGAAACCCACCCTTGGTGCACACATGTGAACAGAGCCCACCTGGAAAGCAGAAGCAAATGCCGGGGGCAAATGAAGTTGTCTATACCTGACATTTCACGTTGATTGAAATGCATATAACTGGGACGTGCCCTCCAAAATCCTTCAGTATAAACACTGGGGAACTAGCTAATAAGCTAAGTGTGTTTCTTTCTCCTTTGGAAATTCATTTTTTTAACAAAGCATGACAAACTGTTTTTTGAGACTTACCTTGCAAGATGTATTTTGTAATATTCAAGGGAATAAAAGTTTGACTGTTCTGAAGAACCGTCCGTTCCTGGCTGCTTTCCCACCTTGCCTCACCCGACTCTCCTCTGCTGCTCTTCTCCCTCTCCCAACCAGGGAGGTGGGGGCAGGACTTCTTGGCAGGGCCCAGGCCTCTCAGCGGTGCTGGCATGCCTGGCCCTCCTTGGCCCCCACAGCTCTGAGAGCAAGGATCGAGTTTTGATGCCTTGATTCCTAGGAGAGTTCTGTGCTGCAGAAACTGAAGTCAGCCTTGCAAGTTTCAGGAGTCCTAAAACGAGGGGATATTGGATGCAAGGCAATTTCTGGCTATTGAGCTGGAGTGGAAACGCATGGCTTACATTCTCAGCATTTATAATGGAGGGTATGGGGCAACCTTTACCTACCTATCCATCCATCCATATACACATAAATAAATGCACTGGCTGTAATGTACATTTCTTTGAGCTAGACTTTGCTTCTTCACCAAACATGAGCATAATGCTCCAAATGCTTAAAATAGGAAAACCAGGATGAAATCTACTGTGATAAAACATATGTGGGGGTGTGATTGTCTCTTCAAAAGCAGCAGGGGTGGTTGCACTCAGGCTCCACTGGATGTTGCCTTGCTGATACTCTTGGGAGTGCAGGCTTTCTGAGAAAAATTGTGTCCCTTGTTTCTCCCATTGTGGCCAGATAGCTGTTCCACACTCCCACCCACTCCTTCGAGAATGCCGAGAATGCCGGGCACAGCACAGAGCGCATTGTCCTCGCCCTTCCCCTCCTCTGGACTCTGAAAGCCTGGTGGGTGTTCAGATTGGCTCAGAACTCGGAATGACCCACAAATAAAGCTCCTTCTTTTGCTGCCCCACAGAGAGCTTTCCAAATATATGGGGAAGGGGAGGCCCTATCCCTATGCCCAGTGAAGTTATGGAAAATGAAAAGTTACCTCAGTTACATGAAAGTGTAACTGCAATTCCTGGTTTGTTTTGTGACTTTGGACAGAGAGAAAAAAAAATCACAACCAGCAAAGTTCACCAAGGGAGGAGGACTTCCTTTCACCTGCCAGGTGAGCCACCCATAAGAGACCTGCAACAGGCACTGGTGGGCTTTCAGATCATAAATTGAAGCCCACATGAAGAGAGAGCCTCAAAAATCAAACAAGTATGCTGCCCCTTTTACAGATTAAGCTGTTTTGCAGCATTTGTCAGATACAGGAAGTGGCTATACTGATACAGGACTTAAATTGGGATGAGAGTGCAGAAAAAAGGGTGTTTGTATAGGTGCAGATTACAAGTGCCTTTAAATGTACACAGTACATTTAAAAAACATTGTATTTATGGAGATCTTCTGAAATGGCCTGAAATCTTTGAACGTTGGTGAGTTCTCTGAGAATGAATTTATCTATTGATCTGGTTGGCTGGATGGATCGTTAGGTCTTCTGAAGGTCTGGTTTAACATCATCAGTCGAGCCACTCCGTAAAGCTGGTCAGAATTCCCCTCCCTCCTTTAGTCAGCTTTGATGTTTCCATGAGTTTCCATACGGAGGAAGGAGACCTGTAACTGCTAACAAATTCTGAGGGATTTGTTGTGTGTTCGGAACATAACATCCCCACTGTTTTTTAAAATGGGCAAAACAGCATGAAAACTGGCATCATATGGATTTAATCACCTTTTGCTGCCCAAAATACATTTATCTGTTGCCTTCTTACTGCTAACTCATGACTATTAGACTTGTAGCAACCCCAGATGATCAGGGGGAAAACTGGAAGAGCAGCTGTAGGGCCAGCAAGAACAAAATGTGAACAATAGCAACTTTCCTGCAGGCCTTCGAAAAGGGTGCCTGGTAAGGAGATAGATGATCAGGGTGCTTTGTGATGCCATGCGGGCAGCTAATCTAGCATGGTAAGTTTTAGGAATCAGAGCCCACTTTTTCAGATCAATTGTCTTCATCAGCAGGCAGGATGGATTACACTGGAGGGCAAGGCGTGAGATAGTTCAGGCAAAGCAGGCTCCTTTCGGATGTGAAAGAACTTGCCATTTTTAAGATGGTTTCTGAAATCCATCTTTATTAGTGTACTGGTTTGGTTTAGCTGTAGCAGATTGACATGACGCTCTCTGAAGACAGCTTTGAAAAAAACATACTTCTAACACTAGGAGTAAATTTCCCTTTGAAATGAACGAAAAATTACTGCATTTGGAACTGCACCTTAAATGTATTAATCTTGTCACAAAAGATGCACAGAACACATGGGAGGCGTGATTACACACAACTCTGTTCACGTGCTTGGCAGTTTTCCCTTCTTCATTCATAGTCAACAGAAAAGCTATCTCTGTCACGTCACGTCTCCTCTTAGAACACCACGACAGATGCAGCTGGGCTGGGGCTTCTCTTATCATGGCTCTGGGTACAAAATTAGTTCAAGGGTTTTGCCACATCCTAACTGCCCCACTCCTGAAGCCACCTCTGCTGGACCCCAAAGACAGTGGGGGAATGGCCAGAGTGTGGCTTGTAGAGGAAGGTGGTTTGCCCACAATCGTGAACATGAATGACAAGCTGAGCTCCATGGGCCTATCACAAGGTGCTTTCATGGGCTCAGTTCTTTGGCCAAAAGGCCCCCGGAGAAGCTCGCCTTTCTCCTATACCATTTTTTTAGGCGGTGGGAGGTCCTCATTTCCAGAACAGCCTGAGGGGGACAGAGCTCTTCCAGCATTTGTTTAGCACAGAATCCGTATTTCTAAGGAACTCAGCCTCCTTTGCTAAAGAGGCCAGGCATCTGGAACCTCGGAGAGCTAAGAACTCCCCTTAGAATGGTGCAATTGGTGGCGATGTACAATTTGGCCAGTTCCCCCCCCCCCCAAAGCAGAATGGAGGGAATGGCATTGATCTTTGCTCTGCTCAGCAATTCAACATGGCCACATAAATGGGCCACACTTTGGATTCACTGAGTTTAAGCATACACACCTACATATACGCTAGCCAAGTTAAGTCTGTCGCCACAGATTCAGCTCAGAGCCATCTGCTTCCAACGTCGAAGTGAGGTTTATCCCCCGCTTCCGGGTGAGGCACTTGCAGCAATCTCCAGGGGACTCAACAGGAGCAAAGGCAGAAGAGGTGGAAGTGGTCTCCTGTTGCTTGGCACTAACAGTAGCCATAGAGATGGGCTGATTCTGCTCAGCTGCCCCCCCCCCATTTGCACTGCCCCCATTAGCACAATACACCTTGGCCACAAAGCCCCACATGACTCAGCCTGCTTGCCACCAGGTGACTGTGTAACAGCTCCAGCAATTCTTGCTTTCCCTGGCTCTGCTCAGAGGTGAGGGATATGGGACAAAGGATCCTGGCCCTGTGTCTCTACAACTCACAGGGCAGGGTGAGGACAGGAAGTGCCCTCTGCGAGGGTCCAACCTGATGCTGCATGATCAGAAGGCTGAGCTGCTACACTAGGGCAGTTTGACCAGTAAGGGGCTCAGTGGACTAAACAGAAAATCCAAGAACCCTGGGTCCCCATTGGGTTGCTGTCTAGCTCAGGAACTCCCCTTCCTCCCTCTGTAAACAGCAGCCAGTTCTCGTCTGGCACCTCTCAGCAGCACGAAGAGCCGGGCTTGGCACTGGGATGCAGACTGACCGTCTGGCCCAACACAGAGTGCTCCAGCTGCTCTTCCAAGGCCAACACCTGCCTCACTGCTTCCTCAAAAGCCACTGCCACATTTGTATCAACCTTGGCACTTGTCTCCAGGTAAGGGTAGTTGCCATGTGCCAGGCACCATGCCCGGGCCTCCTCTGCTGTCACCTGCCTCTCAGCCTTGTCCACCTTGTTGCCCAGCACCACAAAGGGGAAATGCTCTGGATCTTTCACATTGGCGTAGCAGGCAAACTCTTTCTGCCAATGGCCCAGATTCTCGAAGCTCTGGCGGTCATCAATGCTGAAGGTCAAGAGGCAACAATCTGCACCGCGGTAGAAGGGCGTCCGCAGGCTCTTGAAGCGCTCCTGCCCTGCCGTGTCCCAAATCTGCAGAGTCACAAGGCGTCCATCCACTTCCAGGTCCTGGTTGAGGAACTCCACCCCAATGGTGTGGAAGGCCTGGGAGTCAAATTTGTGAGTGACATAGCGGTTCATGAGGGAGGTCTTGCCAACGCCCCCGTCACCTAGGAGGAGGACTTTCAGCAGCAGAGACTTCCCGCTCATGGTGGTTCTGGCAGCAGCAAGCTTTGAAATGAGCAGAGCACAGGGTTAGCAGGCAGGCCCGGCTCCCTGGTAGGTGGCAAGCAGGAGATCTGGCTCAGAGACCCACCTTTTCTGGGGAACTTCCTACCTGGGAACTGGGCTGGAAGAAGAGAAGGCGACGCTCGTGGCTGGCAGGGGCCCCAGGGCCAACTCCCAGGAGCCAAAGCCCTGCTGGCGTTAGGCCTTCCCAGGCGCGGCTGGCTGGTTGGTAGCTCTGAGCACCTTGGCCCGGCTGGCTGAGGAAGGGCTTCCACCGGTCCTCGGATTTGATCTGGAAGGCAGGGAGAGCCACGCTCGGGAGGACAGTCCCTCTGGACCTGGCGGGCGCCCGCAAACGGCCGGACGCACCGCAACCTGCGTACCGATATCAGCTACAAGCCGGGAAGCCCGCGCCCCAGAACCGCTTCGCCCTGGCCTTTCCGTCTTGCTCCGTCTTGCTCGCACATCCTGCTGAGGGGCGCCAGCCGCCTCGATGCCCCTCATCGGTTCTGCCAAGCTGTTGGCGCGGGCGTGTCCGGGCCTCGCATCGGGCCTGGAGCCGGAGGAGGGAGTCTGCACAGCGGCCGAGGGCCCGGAGGGGAGGGGGGTGGCCAGTCCCAGCCGCCGCATCCTCCGCTCCACCCCAGGCATCTCTGTCCGGCGTCAGCGGCTGACAACCAACCCTGACCCGCCCGCGGAAAGCTGCAAGAAAGCTTCTCCGCCCCGCTCGATCTCTTCCTCACCAGGAGGTTCTGGCTCGTCCCGGAGCCCGCAGCCAGGCTGGGCTCGAGCCCGCCGCTCCGTCTCTTCCGCCCGCCGAGCCAGCCCGCGACTCCGCAGCAGCCTCAGGGGCCCGGCATCTCCTGTGCGCATGCGCGGGCGGCACGCGGCTCCCCAGGCCCGGTACTGCGAGCCTCTGGCGCCGACGGCGGCATCGCGCGCCAGAGGAAGGGCGGCCGCTCAGCGCGGAGGGACGTGGGCGGCATTGCTAGCGGGCGGCTCCGACCCGCAGCGGCAACCTCTGGCGGAGTTCCAGAAGGGCCACCTACCACTCCGCCAGACCGGCGGAATGGGCGGGTGCAGGGAGGAGAGTGCAGGGGCGGGGCGAGACCAAGTATGAAAGAAGCACGTGGCATGAATCTGTCTGTCCCGCAGGGGCCCGCCTGGCTGCGCGGAACCATCGCCTCCTTTCAAGGTCCCGGGCGCGGCAGTTGCCTGTCTTGAGCGGGGCACGGAGCCAGGACTCGGCCACAGAGAACGAGGCTCACGGAAGCAAGTTGCTGCTTCGGCTCCGCCTGGACCAACGTGTTGCGCGAACACCGAGCCGGGCCCAGCGCTTCGGAGGGCGGCTCCTTTATTCCAACGCAGCCCCGCCGCTTCCAGCTGCGCTCAGCTCTGCAGGAAGAAGGTTCAGGCCGGCGGCTGTGAGTGGCCCGGCGCATTAAGGAAAGCGGTGTATATAGCCTCCCATCTCACAATTGCGATTCGGAGCACACAGCAAAGCCTGGGGCTGCCGGGTAATTCCCTACCAGTCGATCTTCGAGGGGGAAGAGGCGGGGTTGGCTCTGCTCTGGGGCCATCGCCTTTGGCTGGCTGCGCAGAAAAAGGCAGGCGACGTCTCCCGCTTGTCGAGCTAGCCCGGACCTGTCGGATCTGTTCTGTGTGCAAGGAGCGGCCTCCCACTCCTGACCTTCCACTGGGGAGCAAAGATCAGGCGCACATTTTTGTTAACTGAAGCACACACCTGGAAAGCAAACAGCTACTTGGCAGGGCAGGGCCTGTTGTTGCTGCCATACAAAGGGGCTCTTAGAAGCATTCAGATGGTGAAGCGTGATGAATGGGGTCAGCAGGCTGCTGCAGCAAGTGGCCCCCAAGGCTTCCAGGCTGCTGCATCTCACTAATGGCCACAGCAGACCCCAACGGCCTTGCAGAGCAGTTCAGCGTGGTCCCTAAATGCACACGCTTTCTGAACATATGCTGATCATGGACCTAAATTAACGAGATGGGCTGGGTTCCCCTCACATGCCCCCGGCCCATCCTTAGAGTGAGCATTGGTTAAGTGCACACCAGCCCCATGCTTTCTGGAAATGGCCATTCCAAAACCTCTTTCAGCCAGTGTGATCTTTCCTATGGAGCTGAGATCCCACAGAGAATCACTCTGATCTCTGCAGAATATAAGCACAAGTGAATCAGTGCAGTGGGGTGCAGGAGGAAATAGGCTGTTTGTACCCAGGATGTGGAAATGGGGCTTTCTACTGATGAGGCAGCCAAAGTGCCTGAGTTCCTGGGATGCAGCAGTGAATTATTAAGGAGCAAGAAATCCAGTAACTTTTCTCCCCCAAGGTTTCACCTCAACTCTGGCTCCAGGAGTTGCCTGCAAGATTGCCCATGTCTAGATGAGGTTGGGGCTCCTCTGTGCCTGGTCAGGTTGAAGGCTTTGGGAGGAGGCTTCGTGGTTTCTGAAGCAGAACATCTAGATTCAGTCAGTTTTGTTCCATGTAGCATCAACCTTGTGAATTCTCAAACTTCCTCTTTCCGCTATGTATTCAAAATGGATAGTGATTAATATATACCGGTATGTAAATATATATGTATGGGTGTAGATATATTTGTAGCATGTGTATATGTATGGGTAAGGGTAGATATATACTTTCGAGGGCAGGCAACAGAATTTCATTTTTAATGTGTGCCAGTGTGCCCACAGCAAAAAATGATAATGAAGGTTATCTTATTTCTTCTGAAAGGACGGAGGAGGGGGCCAGCTCTGTCCTTTTCAAGGAGAGGAATGGCTCCATTTCCCTACTTGCCCCTCCGTGGCTGGGAGGGGGGCCACAGAGGAATGTAGCTGGCAAGATTTCCTCTTGCTCAGAACTGCCCATCCCCTTTTCCCGTGCACTAAGTCAGGACTCACATCTGAGTAGAACATTGATTTTGGTTTGGGCATGCCCATCTGTGTCACCATCTTGTTGAGGGCAAGTCCCAGGGAGTGGTTCAGCTGTTGTGCAGAGTGCTGGCTGATGCCTGGCTTCTCCTTGAACAAACTAGACCCAACACAGTAGCCCTGACCACAGAGCCATTCTCTTCCCCTCTCCCCCAAGGATCTGCAGGGGTTGGATCTTCTCTGCTTATGTAAAGCTATGCACCTTTCTCAAGAGGCTGCAGGGCTACTGTCCACCTTTCCAGCAAATGCTCTTGTGCTGGGTGAAGCTTTCAGTGCAAGGAGTTTTTTCCTGTAGTTTGCCTTCCCTCAAGCTACACCCACCCACCGTCTGAGAAAGGCACACCCAAAACGGCCTTTCTTGCTAAACTGCTGAGGGGAAGTTGCAGGTTTTGCTCCCTTCCTCTTCAGGCTTTTGACATCTCCGCAAATCCCTCCCCTGTTAGCAAGTGTGGTTAGCTCAGAAGTGGTGCCTCCAAAATTTACTGCTGTATTGGAACTCAATTATTACTATTTCCTGCTGGTTGCTAGTTATCTTTCATCACTGTAAATTGCCATCTGAATATCTAAGGAAACAATTGACACCTCTTTAGAAGACCACAGCTCTCTTAAGCCAGTGTTGATTCTTTCCTCCTGGCTATGAAGGTGCCCTTTTGCACTGCTCTTCAAATATATCAGACCCCTGCTCTGGGCACCTCTGCCAGCTCAGAATATGAAAGGCCACCACTCAAGGCCTTCAGCGTCACTGTCTCCCACGTGGCAGACTGCAAGCTAGTAGCTGTCTCTTTAACCTAACATTCCCTATTCAAGATTGGCTTAGACTCACATTTTACCTTCTCAAAGCCCCGAGCCTGGACCAGTGGCTACTTGCAGGGGGTTTCGCAGAACCACAATGTGATTGCCTTGGCCCAATCTCTCAGGTGACCCTTTGACTTCCCCAAAGGAAATGTCTCTGTCAGGAAGATGCAGAGATGCTGGACCCAGACCTATTATCCTGTTTTGCCCCCATCAGACAGAACACCGGTCCCCCCCCCCCTCAAAAGCACCACTCTTTCTCAACTCACAGCACAGGCCTGGGCCAAATGCCTTCAAAACTTGGGAGCTCTGGGAAGGATTCACAAGAGACAGTCATGAGGTAATTCATTTTTAAAATTTTAATAGATTTTTCTTTCCATTTTTAGGAAATCAAAGCTGCAAAAACAATCACAAACATTTTTATTAATTAGGATTTAACTGATAAAATCCCCCCCTCTGACAAGAAAGGCTAAGGATGAGAATTGCGCTGGGCAAACCCCAGAAATTTCCTGTAGATCATTTTTTCTTCTGTGATGGAAGCAGAGGGCGTGGCCAAGCCCAGAAAGGCAGGAGGGTGGGGAGGCAAAAAGGCCCAAAGAGGCAGCAGCCAGAGATGGGCTGCTGCAGCATTTCTCGAGTTGTTTTAAAAAAAGAGCTAAGAAAGAACATCAGAGCTTCATGCCGCTGGTCTATGATGACTTGGCAGACTCTTTTTCCTGTTCAATGGCTGAGAAAAGAAAAAGCACCTTGAGCATTAATAGTCACCTGCACCCACCTCCCAGACCCCTTGCCCTTAGTCCCTAGCTGGGGTTGAGGGGGAAAGCAAAGGCATTTTCTGGGTAGCGTAAACCTATTGACAAGGTCTGCTGGACAACCCAACTGCACCCTAGTTCTGCTGCCTCCCAACAGAACCCCCACACTGGCCAGGTTCTAGAAGTGGGGCCCTTAAACTCTGGTTCTCCAGCTCCTTCCTGGGTAGAGTCCGGGTCTTGATGCTCAAGGAAGGAACCCAGTGGAGACCCATCCTTGCTTGGAAGGCACCTCATCCTCCCAGGATTCCAAACTCACACCTCAGCCACCCCGATGCTTTGCCAAAGTCGGAACTAACAGGGAAGGAATCCCATCTCAGCAGGAGGACCCCATAACAAGCAGGACAGAATCCCTCCAAAGGCAGAGACCCTCTAAGGGCCCACTCATCTGCCAGCTGCTCTTGGACTTCCAGAGACTGGCCGATGCCCAGTTCCCACTGTAGCAGGGTTGAGCAGGGCTTAACTCTAGGCGGAGGAAGCACAGCCTGAGGCTACAGCTTTCCCAAGTTAGGCTCCCCAAGCCTTCCTTCCCTTTGCCCCGTGGGAGTTTGCTCGAATGTTGCAGCTGCTGGAAGGCCCCGCCTAAAATACTTACTCTCCTTGGAAGGAAGCGTGTTCTTCTCTTCCGTATTCGTTTTCTTCAGCTTCTTCTTATCAAACTTCTCGACCTCCGAAAGATCCGGTTTGTCGCACATCTTGGCCAAAACAGGAAACTAAGCCAATACCTTCAGAACTGCAAAAGGCCACACGGTTCCTCGCGGGGCTTCCCGGAACAAGGGGCCGGCAGCCGCAGCCCCAAGCCAGGCCGAGAAGAGCGGCAGGCACGGCGGAAGAACGGCTCCAGGGGCCCAGGGAGGAAAGGAGGCCCGGGAAGCGCCGTGCCCGCCCCAAGCCAGACTCCGGGAGAGCCTTCGGCATAGCCACGCCCCTCTCGCCTTTGTCCGCCAGCCCGCCTCGCTCCTCGGCCTCTCCAAGCGCCTCTGCCGAGCCACGGTCGCGCAGGAAGGGCCGCTTGGCTTCACCCAGCCCACTCAGCAGTCCCTGGAAGCCCGCCAGGCCCTCCACGCGCGAGCCCCGGAGAGGCACCCCCAGGAAGGGAAGGGGAGAAAGCGCCTCTCCGCCGCGGCTCCGGGTCCGCCGGCGGCCAGCGGACGCCGCTCCCCAGCCCGCGAGTTACCTGCAAAGCTGCCGCCTCCGAGTTCCGCGCTCTTTAAGCCAGCGTGTCAGGGCGGCCCTTTATATCGGGCGGCCGGACCGCGGGGTACGTCGGGAAGTGTAGTTTCTTCCTGAACGGGAAGGGCGCCGCACCGTGGAAGCCGACTCGCCTCTGGGGGCCCCGAGGCAGGCCGGAGGGCGCGTCCGGCGTGCGTTGAGCGTTGCACGGTCGGCCTTGCCGCTTCCTTCGCCTGGCGGTCAGTCGCGCGCTGCATGACCCCCGGGTGCGCGGAGGGCCCCCGCCCCGCCTTTTCTCCAGGCCTCCCCGGGTTATTAGCAGGGCGCTGCGGAAGGCTACCGCGCTGCTGCCTCCGGGCCCCGCGTCTGCCCAGGGCGTTGTCGTCGCAAGGATCCAGCGGCCGGCATTTCAGGAGCTGTTAAACGAGCTCCCGCAGGCTCTCGCTGCGGATGATGGGAGCTGTAATTCAGGAGCTTTTCACGGCCGTCGATTCCGAGCGCGCACGCACTGGCGGGGGGGCGGGAGACCGGCTGGTTGGGCAAATCTGATCCTATGGCGGAGAGCTGGCCTGGGGCAGGGGGTGCTGTAGGGAGAAGTGGCGATTGCTGAAGGCTGCAACGTTGGGTGAAGGTGAAAGCGCTGCTCTTTGAGCCGAGCCTTCCTTTATCGATATTTTGGATGTCTCCAACATGTCGGAGACCGCCGCAGCTGCCGGCCTCCCCTGGCCCGCCATAAACGGGAAGGGTGAGCAGCAACCATCGCGCTGCCGACCTGCTCGCGGCTGTTGTGCAATCCCCGCCTCATCGCGGGTGGGCGGGCCGACGGGTTCCGTTCCCCAAGCCGCAGAGGCGGGTTGGCGCACCCCCCAGCGGCGGGACCGAGCCTGCGGGCTTGGCACGTGCTCGGCTGCCTTTTTTTCTTGTTTGATTTGTTTTTTAATAAGCGTAGCACGTTCATGGTGGATATTTGAACTTACATTTATATATTTAAAACTAATCTAAATAAAGTAATAAGATATTGCGGTAAAATAGTCCATAGCTATTCTGTATGATCGTATGCTTGCAGATTACAAACAATTTGCTAGTGAATTATGGGGAGGCTTGTAGTTGTACTCACATTTTCTATGCCAATAAAAATTAAGTGCACACTTGTGTGTCTATATAAAAAAAGAAATCTAAGAAAGTTTGGAGACCTTATAAAATAAAAGCATAGGTGATGAAATATACATGCCAAAATTATCCAACATGTCCTTGTGGGCTTCCAATCAGCAGACAGCGGTTATCGTGGAAAACATAGGTATAACAAACAGACCAGAAATAACCAGCTTATTAATAACAGCTACTTATTAAAGTATCAAAATTAACGTAAGCCACTAAAATTCAGCTCAGGTGAAGATAGTTTATAAAAATAGTATTATTAACTAAAAGCAAAACATGCTAATGCCCTTTCTCCAAAGGATCCAAGACAAGTTGCCTGATATAATCAATTACATGGTTGCAATAATTAAGCCCAAGCTTAATTCACAAATCAGGTTACAAATAATGCCCCCGCAGTGTATTTATTGGGGCTTAATTCTGCTGGGCTGTCTGGCTTGTAACTTAAGGATCCAACATGCAAAGCCAGAAGTCATGATTCCTCCTCCCCCTTCCCCAGGCCCTGCAGGAAAGTAAAAGATGTTTTCTGCTGGCCCACTGTGTAATCCAGCTGAAGGCAAAGCGGAGCTTTCTGGCGCTCCAATGGAATCAAGTTAGTCCAGATGTGCTTGCAAACTTCAGATCTCTACAAAGTGTCCAAGTGAACCACATCCCCCAACTCTGAGTTTGCTCTGCATTTCTCTCTCTTCAGTCGGATACTGTTCAATTCTCCTGCAGGTGTATGGGGCAGTTCTCCTTTCCTTCTTGTTGTCATTGTCTCCATTTATACCATGTTTGCAGATTGCTCTACAGACACAGAAAGCCCTAGCCCCCCTTCAGAATCAGTCCTTAGCTTGTGACCTTGGACAAGAACTGGTAGATGGCAGTTGTGAGTCCCCAGGTAAGGCTTGAGCGGAGAATGAGGAGAGAGCCGCCCCTGTACAGCAGCCAAGCTTTCCTTCCCCGGGCCTTCCAGACCTCAGCCATCGTGGCCAAGAGGCTGAGGGTTTCCTGCCTTCCCACTTGGGACTGCATATTGGCAATGAGAATGCCAAGAGGGTAGAGCAGCAGGCACACCAAAGTGCCACTAATACTGCCCGACAGAAAGGCTGGGATTCCAACAGGCAAGCTCTGTGTGGAGAAGCTGCTACGGAGAGGCTCCTCCAAGGCAAAATAGAGGGAACTCCCCAGCCCATTGCGGATCAGGATGAGTCCGAGGCCTCGGTAGAAGCCCAGACTGAAGCTCTCCCCGAGGGGGTAGGAACGGAAGGTGGTCAGGATGTGACGTGTGGTGGGGAATCTCTGGACCTTCGTTCCATCCTGGAGCACATTCTGAACCCTCTCGAAGGGACAGAAAACCAAGGCTTCCAAGAAGCCAGAAAACAGCCCGGCTGTGGCTCTGCGGGAAAAGGACCCCCATGGCTGATTCGAGAGGAAGCCATAGAAGCTGTTGTAGGTGCCAAACATCAATGTTCCTTGCAGCGTCTTGGCCATGAGTGGTGGAAAGGCACCACGATAGATTTGGCAGAAACCTTCGTGGCACAGCTGGCGCACCGCTTCAGTGATGCAGAAGGCATGCAGTTGCTGGCGGAAGATGGTCTTGTAAATGGGGAAGGTTGCCAGGGTGGAGAGACTGCTGGAGGCAGCGCCCAGAAAATAACCCCTGCAGCCCCTTTGCCTCTGACCCCTCTCTCTCTCCTCCTCCATCAATGCAGTGTCTGACTTGCTTCTTGATCGTGAGGTCTCTGTGGGAACAGAGGAAGTGCACAGCCCTGGGTTCCGAATGGGTGAGTTGCTTCAAAGGGCAAGTGGGGGAAAGATTTAATCCTCCCTTCTGATGTTACTTTTAATTAAATTAAATTTTAATCTTTAAATAAAAAGGAATCTGTGCTCTTATGCCTGAAGTTGGGGCCAGAGGCGTTTTGCCCTTGGAAGCTTGACTTCTTAGATGTTCTCTACACACATACACTCCCTTTTTGAAACCTTTGCTAGGGAAACCTACTATTCACAAAGGGTGGCTTCTACTTATTCAGTCTCTTTACACTCCAATTATTAGATGTTTCTCCTGGAGCCATCTTGCTGAAGCCATTCCAAGCTTTTCTACTAGCCCCTTTACGATATAAATCCAATTGGTTATATATCCTTGCTCACTCTGTTGCAAGGATTCTGGCCCTTTGTTAAGCAAAAAATAATATAGTTACGTTCATTTCAGAAGCAGGAATGAGAAGCATGTGGACCTTTTTTGTTCAAAATCAGAAGATTAAAAAAGCTTTAGTATTAGTATTTGCTCAAGTCATAAAAATTATAAATGTCAAATTAACAGGACTCCAAGTGAGTAGGTGCACACACACACCTTGGAGCGCTGTTCACACCACCTGATCTTGGGGTAGAGATCTTTGCTGCCAGACTAGTGTTGTACAGCATGAAATTTATTTTCATTAATGGTTGCCGATTTTGTCCCTGCAGCCTGTGGGGTTTTCTAAACCACGATACACAAATATGCTCTTACCAATTCCACTACTTTTGAAATTCCTCAAATTAAGTTTATTAGAGCAGTTCTTGCAGTCTCAAAATATATTAAGAATGTTGTCTTATGACTGGAGATGGGTTAGAATTCTGTGGAGGCTAGAACTTGGTCCCTTCTGATCCATTTTTGACTAAAATTAGTTTTTTTTTCTCCATAGGTCTAATCTTTGTTTTCTTAGGGATCATTTCAAATCAACATGGTTTAATAAAGTAATTGAGAAAATCCATTCCTTGGAGAACCGTTGCTCCCCAGAAGGGCTTTCAGGCAACCGATGGAAGCCCAGCCTCTCGTGCTACCCTTTGGGGAGTCTTCTGAAAGGATTGGCACCAGCCTCCCCTCCATCACCAGTCACAGTACTGCAATTCCAGAGAACGGAGAACAGGGCAACCCTAAGAATATCTGCATCTTTGTTGCTGTAATGAATCATTCAAATTGAGCTTCTTCCCTTCCCGGCAGTTCTCCTGCAGTCACCTGGGCAGCAGGAGGGAGGGCTGGAGCTCCTGTGCAAGGGCCTCTCCCTCTCCCATTGGGATGTGGTGGCGGGGTGGGGGGTAAGGGGTGGGGAAGAGATCCTCCAGTTTCCAATCCTATCTGGCCTATTTTTCAACTCCACCCTTCCTTGGCCAGCTTCTCCCCCAACCCTGGCCCAAAGGCTCCCACACCGCCAGTGCTAGATTCTCAAGAGCCCCTTAGCCTTGAGTGCCAAGACCACTCGTCCAGACCTGAGGCAAATCTTAACCCACTCCTTCTGAACCTGAAACGCCCCAGGGGATGCTGCACCCCCCCCACACACACACAGAGAGCAGCCCATGGCACTTTACCTTCTTCCGCACGTGTCTCTGTTCCTTTGCACAGAGATGCAGACCTGGCCAGCAATGCATCCTCTCTCTCTGCAGAAAGCTCCACCCCCGGGGCTTCCGCAGCTGCTTCTTCCTACGGCCCTTTCTTATCATCATGGAAGACTCAGTGGTGAGCACAGCAGCCCTGAAAGGAAAGGACCATCTCCGGCTTCCCAAGGGGATGCCAGAGAAGAATGGAAAAGGCAATACTCTGAACTGCCGAGGGAAAAACTCCTGGGCCTGGAGGGCCACCAGGACCTTAGGACTGTGAGGGCTGGAGGGGTAATGGGGCTTTTTAGAGGGGGCAGCAAGGAGCACACTCCTTTACTGTGTTGCCATTTCCTCACAGTTCTGCCTTGGTCAATTGCAAGGGCTGATCTCCACAACTAGTCAATATGTTCAGCCTTGGTAGCGATATTTCCTTCTTTTCAGCAGGAGGAGGGGGCTTTCTCTGGGCCAGGAATAGTTCCTTTGCCTGTCAGAGAATTGAACTTAGTTCCAGTCGTATTTGGAAGCTCAGGGGAGCCTCCTTGAAATAAACTCTTTTGGCCAAACACCTGGAGCAAAGGAGGTGCCTATGGAGCAGTGAGAGGCATCTCCTGCTCAAAGAGCTGGTTCACCCCTTGAGAATAAAATTGACCTGACGCAGCAACTGACCTGCTTCTGCCAGATATCCTCTGTGATCCATTTGGAGACCCTTGAACACACCAAGAATCATCTAGGATAGTAAAGACAGCAAGGCCTCCTAACTGTAGGCCAGCGGTTCCCAACCTTTTCTATACTCCACACCCCTAGAACGCTTCTGATATATTCTCACACCCCTTAGAAAAATTCCAAATAGCCAGGCCAAATCCCTGCTCTCCAGCACAAGAAGTGCTGAACTGCCTTGGAGCGAAGAGATGTGGCAGGCATTCAATTAGAGCACCCCAATCAAATGCCCCATCTTTCAAACTGGCAAAATCAGCAGCATAAATAGCAGGATAGTAGCCTCCCAAAGGTACACTGGTCTTACTGCCACAGGGGAGCAGAGCACGAGGCATCCATGGGATGTTAGCTTGGGTTCCTGGATTGTGGGGGCATCCAGCCCCCTGACTCTGCACACAAGAGACCCCCATCTAGCCCTGTCCATTGTTTAGCAAACTTCTCCAGCCATGTCACCCACTGTCTCTTGGCTACTTGCCCCTCACAAGAGAGGCTGCAGAGAGAATGTAAGATAGTCAGAGGAGCAACCCCCCTCCCCCCAAGAGATGCCCTTCCACAAGCAGCCTTCCTCATGCACTGGCAGTCAATCAGAGCTGAGAGGGACCTTGGAGGTCTTCTAGTTCAACCCCCTGCTCAAGCAGGAGACCCTATACCATAGAGATGTCCTTGATGTGGCACAGCTGCTGATTTGGAGGGATTCACGGCAAGTTGCTCCATATATGCCTCAGCAAAAGGATATGCGGGCAAACCACGGGGGCTATTACAAGTTGCCAGCCTCTTGGCACCCTGAAAAGAGATCTCCATGGATTGAATTTGGAGGTTTTCAGTTAATAACAGCTAATTCGAGAAATAGCTTGCATTGCCTCAAAGGAGGCAGTGTAATGCGTTCAACTCCAACAGTCACAAATATTTATAGTCCCAAAGACAACCTACAATTACACTTGCCCATATCAAGACCTATTCCTCCCCACTCTCCTTTATTCTGTTTTTAGTGGGGGAAAAGGCTGCGTCCCAAAGAATCTTGCCGGAATATGGTGTGTGTGGGAACAGCATCCAGAAAGCTGATTTTTAAGGAAGAGTTTAATTCCTCCTGCTCTGAAGTTCTGAGCAACACAAACATCACATTGGTATCCTAGGGGTTCAGCTGAAGCGAAGCAGAGGCAGCAGGAAGGGCCCAAATAAGCAAAATAAAGGTACGTGCGCGCACGCGCACACACACACCAGAGCAACAGGCATACAATCCACAGAACTGCTGCCCAGAACCCAGCCGAAGGGCCATGGGAGCAGAGGCAGCATGCTCCGGCTGTAAAGATCTCTGCTTTTCTGGGAGCCCTGTTTCTCCTCTCCTCAAGCACTCTGAAAACCTTTGGGATGGGGATCATGGTCTTCTGCTTTTACCTCTCAAAGGAAGGCAGGCCCCATTGCTCTGAAATGATCTCCACTGCTGTCAGGTAGAAAAGGTGCCAAGAGACACTCCTGAAAGTAACTGGGCAGAATGCCCCAGGATCACAAGCTGCATAAATCCCCTGGGAAGCCTTTAAAACAGGGGTGTCAAACTGCCGGCCCGCGGGCTGCACACGTCAAGAGGAAACTGGGCCCACTACATTGCTGGCAATGGGGGAAAAGCTGATATGTTGTGCGACATCACGTGACATTGCGAGTTTCACATGTCTGCTTTAAAAGAAAGAGGTAGGGGACACTCCAACCCGCCCATTAGGAAATGAACGACATAAAAGGGGTGGCGAGGAAGAGGCAGGCAAGTTCCAATCAAGGCACACTCCAAATGTGGGCATTTTTTTGGGCAAAGGCCTCTCTCTGCATACTCTTGAACCAAGTGACCACCCTAACAAAATTGCAATCCTGACCTTTTGCACAATTAGCTGCCACACCCTCCCAAGGACACATGACGGATGACCTGAAACACTGGTTCTATTCTCTTCCAAGTGAAAGCAGGTCAATAACTTCACAAGAAACATAATTTGCATAAAAGCACCCCAGTCAATGGACAGGCTGAGAATATGAACCATGATCGCTCTCCCCTCCCCCTCCAAACACTGAGAAATAGAAAGGAAGAGTGTAGCAATCAAACAAGCAACATCTACTGAACTTAAAAACAAATTTTGGTTTTTCAAAAAGCCACCCAAGCAGCAGCATCTACAGTTATAAAGGGACATGACTGAAGAGATAAGAGACAGATTCCCCGTTGTGAGTCCGCCTGATGGCTTCAGCCAGGATCATGGAGATATCAATCACCTGCAGAGAAAGAGAAAGCAACATGTCAAGCCATCTGGAGCCTGTAAGCTGTCCAAACTCTCCTTTTCTTCTGCAGCCTCACCTGGATTTTAGGGCAGTGTTTCATCTTGTCCTCCTGGGGGATTGTGTTTGTGACTACAACAGCTTCAAAGCAGGCGTGGTTGATTCGGGAAATGGCTGGCCCAGAAAAGATCCCATGAGTCAGGATGGCATAAACTTTGGTAGCACCAGCTGAAAGCAGCCTATGTGGAAAACAGACAGAAGGCAGTGTTTACTGGGTGAGCCGGCTGCTCATCTCTGAATAAAGCAAACATTCTAATCCACCATTCATAAACAACGAACCTTCGCTACAGCCTTACTGTCTACAAACCTAGCCTCTTATTGCTTTCAGCACATCTAAGTTCATTCAAAGCAGCAGAATGGGGACAGGTAGGAGGATGAATCAGCCAGAATAGAACTAGCCATCCACTCTCTTGACTCCAGATGGCTGCCTACACTCCGTTAGGATACTCACTTGTCTGCTGCATGGCAGATGGTGCCACAGGTGTCTGCCATGTCATCCACAAGGATGGCCACCCGGTCCTTCACATCTCCCACCAGCACCATGCGGTCTACCTCGCTGGCCTTCTTCCTCTCTTTATGAATAAGGGCAAAATCCACATTCAGCCGATCAGCAATGGAAGTCACTCTGTGGAGAGACAGGCCCATACCAGCAATTTCCAGAAAGGGTGGTAATCCTGCCCCTTCTTATGCCTTCTGATTGCAGGGCAGCAACTCCCTGAATTCTTATCAGCACTGCCACCTCAAATCCATCCAAAAAAAGCAGGCTGGGCAAGGCCACCATGAACTCTGCCCAGCAGCACATGCTAACATAACATGCAAATACAGCACAATGGCCTGTCCTGCAGTTCTCACAACAGAGCTCTTTATTATTTAGGAATGCCTAGACATGCTTTCTTCTGTGCCAGGCACATCATTAGATGATCAGAAGAGCCCATTTGCTCCAATTCCAAGGTTTGAAAAAGCAGCAGAACCAACAGCAGGCCAAAACAAAATTCATTTCTTGAAAGGGTTTCCCAGTCAAAGCATTTTATGAATGCAAGCAGTCTCCTGCAGCTGCCTTTTCAGTCAGCTGGGACGTCCTCTGCTGACTGAGGTTCAAGCACTACAAAAAGTCAAGAGCCAGGAAAAACATCACACAGAAAGCCAACAAAAATACAGGTGTGTTCTGAATTTGGAGAACGAATGGGGACTTTGGCCACATCTCTTCAAGGTGGTCGCTAATCAAGTCCTCATCACAGCCAAGATTTGAAGCTGAAAACATTCAGCAAAAGAGGCCCTCACCCCAATTGCTCTGGGTGTCTCACCTCTTGGCTCCCCCAGCGTCAGGAGAGACAATTGTGCAGTTCTTCCACTCAACAATGTTCTCCTTGATCCACTTTAGGACGGCTGGCTCAGCATACAGGTTGTCCACGGGGATGTCAAAGAAGCCCTTGGGAAAGGAAGCAGCTCCTTAGCCCAAAGATCCCAGAGCCCCCTTTCGGCTAGGCTTTGGGGCCATTTCCTGGAAGGCAGGGGAGGAGAGAACGCCCCTTTCTACGTCCGGATAGAGGCGTTAACTCCCCAATCTGCCACAGCAGCCCAAGAGACCCCACGGAGCTTCCTCTCCAGGCAGGGAGACTTGCCAAGTTGGCACCTGCCCGAGGCGTACCCGTCCCACCACAGCCCCAAACCTGGATCTGAGAGGCGTGCAGGTCCATGGTGATGATGTGGTCCGCGCCGGCCACGGAGAGCATGTTGGCCACCAGCTTGGCGGAGATCGGGGCCCGGCTCTGCAAGAGAGGCAGCGGCGTGTCGGGTCAGGGCGGGCGGACCACGGCCCGGCAGGAAGAGGGCGCGGGACGCGGGGCACCTTGTCCTTCTTGTCCTGGCGCGCATAGGGGAAGCAGGGGATGACGGCCGTAACGCGGCTGGCCGAGGCGATCTTGCAGGCGTTGATCATGATCAGCAGCTCCATCAGGTTGTCGTTGATCTCCCCGCAGCCGCTCTGCACGATGTAGACGTCCTCACCGCGGACGCTCTCGCCGATCTCCACGCTGAGGGGGGCGGGACGTGAGGGCGGGGCGTGAGCCTCCCTCCCTCCCCCTTCCCCCCCCCGCTCGCCCGTCCCCGCGCATGCGCCGCTCCTCACGCGCACCAGGTCTCCTGGTTGGAGAACTTCTTGGTGACGACCTTGCCCAGCTCGAGGCCTAGCCGGTCGGCGATCTTCTGCGAGAGGTCCTGGTGCGAGCTGCCGCTGAAGATTTTGATGTTAGGCATCCTGGCCAGCAGCGGCGGCGGGCAGCGCGACGCGGCGGAGGACGAGGCGCGCTCCGCGGGCCCGCCGCCTTCCTGCGGCACCAGCAGCAGCTCCGCCGCCTCCCTGCGGCGCTCCCGCCCGCCGCTCTCGGAATCCAGCAGCAGCCGCAGCAGCACCACACGGCCTCCGCCTTCCGGGCGCCGGCTCCGCTTAGAGGGACGGTGCGACGCACGGGCGGCCTTCGAACGCGCAGGCGCCGACGGAAGGGCCGCGCACGCTAGCCCGCCATCTTGGTGCCACGCCCCCTTTGTCACCTCACCGCTTCTCGCCTGGCAACGCGCGCGCGCGCGGGGCGGAACTTGCGCAAAGGAAATTTCCCACGCGACAGATGCGGAAGGAATAGATTTACTCTTCCTCGTTGCAAAACAGCAGCTGCTTGTTCCGTATACAGTATAGACAGCTATAAAAAGGGGCGCCGCTCAAGCCCCGGGTGCACTTGGGGAGACGGGCTTTGGGGGCGGGAGTCCCCCAAGGGCCGCTTTAGCCCTGCAGCAGAGGCAGCGATGTCGCTTGGGGGAGCGGAGTCCGCCCGAGGCGCTGCGCTTGGCCACCTTTGGAAGCCGCAGGAAGATTCCGCTCTCCCAAGCGACGAGAGGCTCCCGGGCCTCCGAATCCCTTACGAGGCCCCGGGCAGCGGCGACAGCAACAGTTCCCCACGCAGACGTGGCCGTTCCTGGCAGACGGAAACTCCACGACTCGGTTCTGCCGGGGGGAGAAGCAGCCTCCCGCTCGAATGCCGAGAGGGCTCTCGGGCGAATCTGCTCCTTTCTGGCGGCGGGAGAGACAAGCCCTGCAGGGTCTGGCGCTCCCGTTCCCTCTGGAGGGGCGAGCAGGGACTCCAGGCTGGGGCTTTCCCTGGACGGCGCCCGAGCCTTTCACTGTTTCGGCCCTTGAGGCGAGCCGGTCTGGGCCTCGGTAGGCCAGGAGAGGAGCCGGGAAGGGACACGCGTGGCAAATGCTGCCTCTCCATCCGCGACAGGCAGCGCTGATATCCCTAGCCGCGTCCTGGCTCTCAGTGGCTGGTAGGCCTACAACATTCGGGCACTTGGTCTAGGCTGGGCAGGCGCTGGGCTCCGGTGACAGACACTGATTTACTTGTTCATCAGTGTCTTCAAGGAACGTGTGAGAGTGTTCACAACAGAGGCCACCGATTGGTGGCTCAGCTGCTCGGCTTCCTGGTCCCCTCGGTGGCAGGTTCGGGCAGTGGACTCCTCAGCAGCTCTCAGTAAGAATGTGTAGTTCCTCACAATCTCTTCAACTTTGGCCAAGAGCGCCTGGCGCTGAGACTCTGAGCGCACCACGTTCACCAGCCGCACAAAGGTCTCAATCAAGCTGCCCAGGACTTGGAAGCTGCTGCTCACTGCCGACAGCATGCGGGTTGGGCTCTTGTTGACTGCAGCAACTCTGCGGCAAGAGGCCCGGAAGTCCTTGAACTGAAGGGCTAACTGTTGCTTGTACTCAGTCAACTGAGGGAGATACGGCTTGCCTTCCTGGGCCTCGGGGCTCACGATGCACTGCCGCAGAATGGTCAAGAGTTCACTAGTGTCCAGCTGCACAGCTAGGAACCCATTGGGCCAGGCGTAGGTGTGGCCCTTCAGGGCATGGATCTTGGCCAGATTGCCCTCAAAGGAAGAGGTCCGTAGGTCTATCTCCTGGGTTTGGTTTTCTGTAGTGCTGCAGGCGGTGGCATCCAGAACTTGGAGGGTTCTGCTGACAACTGGGATTGCCTGGTGGCCAATCTTCCCTTCTGGGAGAATCGGCATGGGAATGGCGTAAGAGAGCTCATCCTTTTCACTCCCATCATCAGCCATGTCACACTTCCTGTAGTAGAAGCAGTACCGGAAGGAGCAGCATCTCTCCCCATCTCCGTCGTCCTCTGACAATTTGTGGGGGCTCGGATAGATGTCCTCCTGAAAAGGAAGCACAGCACCACCTTTCTGGCTCTTCTCAGTCACTTGAACACAAGAGGGGTCTGATGCTGTGGGGTGGGAGTCCTGCAATTTGCCTTTCAAGGCAGGGACTTGAGCCGTGGCCTCCCTTTGCTTGCTCAGGTAATGGCTCATGTAGCCTGGAGAATTTGGGGACATTTGCTCCATCTTTTCAATTTCGCTGACACTGTAGCGCCGCACCAATTTCTTGTAGTGGGGTGCTCCTATGCACTCTCCAGGAGAGGCACACGTAGTCAGGCACGACAGGCCATTTTCAGGGTTAGACCGGCAATCCCTAGATTCCAGGCTGGTGGACCTGATCCGGCTGCCCTTGGGAGGGACTCTAGCGGAGGACTTTCTTGGCCCTTCTGCCTGCTGCAGCTCTCTGCCCCTGCTCTGCCTCTCTAGGTCTGTTGACTGGCCAGGCAGGGGTCTGGTGCCACGGCTGAGCCGCTTGCAGTCACAACTCCGCCTCTGTTCCCTGGACATCCCTGGCCCAGTCTGCACAGGGCTGGTCCGGACCTGGCAGGTGCAGCGCCCCGTAGCCGAGGGATCCAGACAGTCCGGAGACACGGGGTCTCTCCTGGGCTTTGGCTTCAGCAGCTCTTCTAGGAATTCAAGTTCGTATTGTCTCACTTTTTGCAGCTGAGCCTGCCGCTCATCGGTCTCCCTCTTGAGTCGCGTTGGGAAAGTGGCAGAAATGAGGTTCTTGAACCGGAATGATGCTTTGGGCACTTTAGGTTTAGCCGGGAGATCTGAGTCTGGTGCTATAACAGCCAGTGCCTTATCAGGCCTTTTTAAAAGCATGGAAGTGCAGGGCAGGCTTTCAGTCCAAATACCTGCGGGGACCTTCCCCTTCAGACTCTCCCCTCCGGGGCTACTGAAGGTCTGTGGGCTCCTGCAGGGTGGGGGTCTCAGGGTGCTGTGGCTGTTGGCACCCGTTTCATGCTGTCCTTTTTCCTCCTGGCTGATGAGTGTCTCCCTCTGGCCAGATGGTCTGGCACCCTCTCCCCGGCACAGGAGTTCCTCTGCCCCCAGCTGCCCTGCCCCCTCTGGCCTTCCCTTCAGCTGGCAGCTCTGGGGTGTCTGCTTCCCCTCTTCTGCTGCTGGCAGGGGAGGGGGAACCACCTCCACAGGACTGCCCAGGGGTCCTGGGTTCTGCTGGCAGGCCTCACTGCTAGGCTGCTTCTGGGAGCAAGGAAAGCTGGAGGGAAGCTGGCCAACAGAGCAGGGCTGGGCATCAGACAGCTGCCTGGGGTCAGGATCCCAGGGCGGAGTGCTGCCCTCAGTTGGCAAGGACGCTGCTGCTGCTGCAGAAAGGGAGGCTTTGTGGCCGACTAGCTGCAGACTTGATGCGACGAGGACAGAAGCTGTTCTCTGGTCCTGCAGCCCACTCTCTGGGTGGCTGTTTCCCAGGGCAGGGACAGCCGTGGTGTGTGGGGCCACAGCTGTACCGCAGGGGAAGGAACCTTTGGGTTCAGATACTGCCCCTTTGGCATTGGGCTCACTGAGCTGCTGGGAGGGCGAGGGCTGGGCAGAGCCTTTCTCCTTTTCTCGCTTGCTTGTAGTGCAGGTGGCACTGGGGGTCTGGTCTGGATCCTGATGCTGATGCTGAGGTGGCCCTCTGGCACTACCAGTCTGTATGCGGAAAGGAAGATCCTTCCGGGCCAGGAGGCCTTCCTTGCTGAGGTGCTGAGTCAGGAAGAAGGCAGCGTTCTGGCGTTGCTGCACGGCTGCAGGGACATCGTGGATCTCGGAGGAGTTGGTTTCGTGGCCGGAGTCCATTGATGACTCTGGGGTGATGGCAGCCAAAACGATGAGGCCTGGAGGAGAAGAAGGCATGTTCTTTAGAATTGGGCAAGGGTGAGGAAAGTGCCTCTCCTGCCGGAGGCTCAAGCCCACCCATAGCTACTGGATGACTTTGGCCGCTTGGCGCAGCCAACCAGGGAGGGGAAAAGGAAAGGAATCCGTCACTCTGTGTGTGTGTGTGTGTCACTGCTTCAAAGGCAAACCTCCTGTGCTGAGGGGGAAATGGGGGGCTCTGCACGTATGCCGGCTACTGCTGGACCTCCTGTCTTTTTGAAGGCCCAAGTTCTGGCATGGGCTCAGGAGGAATTTTACAGGATTGTCTGAGCTGCTAGCCCAGCTGCCTCTAGATGATGCACCTGAGCGGTGGGGGTGGTATAGTGGTCTTAATGTCCCAAACAGCCCTTTGCTGTGCCAGGTCCTGGCCTCTTCTCTGAGGAGGACTACAGACAAGCTGCAGCCTCTCTCTTTCTGAAATGGGGTTCGAGAGGCATTCGGTCAGCCCAGTCTGGCTCCACTTGGAGCTCTTGAGAAGGCTCCAGCCACAGACTGCCCCTCTGACCTTGGACGGAGGGTCCTTCCAACCTCCCTTTCCACATGTGGCTATGCTGCCGCCACTGCCCCTCTCTTTGGACTAAGCTCGCAGGCTTTGAGAGGTGCTGCTGTTTTGCTAGGAGCTTTCTGATGGGAGCCACCTGGAAAGGGGGGGTACCTGCTGTCTGCTGCGGCTGAGGGTGCGGACCATCTTCTGAGGCCGCCAGAGCTTCCAAGGCCTGCAGAGTGGAGACCAGAGCATCATCCAGGTCCTGGGCACGATCTCGAACTGTCCGCATTGGCAGGCTGTCTATGAGTGTCACAGGAATCTCCTCGTACAGGAGGCCATAGAGCTGGCGTCCAGGCTCCTGCCCTTTTGCTATGGCAGCTGCCGCTGCGGCCACCCGACGTTTAGAGTCGTCCTCATCAGAGCTGTTGTCTTGAAAGCCGGGAGGCGGTGCAGCGATGGCGGGGAGGAGGGATGTGGTTTCATCCTCCTCTTCATCACTCCCTGGAGGGGGGAGGGAGGTCAGGTCCACTATGTTGTCCTGCGTGGGGCCGGGATTGCTGCCTCGGTGAGGGGCTGGCTGCTGGAGCTTGACTTTGGCCTTGCAGGATTCACAGTAGAGCTGTGGGGGGGGCTGGCTGTCCTGCTGGCTGTCCAGGGTGTATGCCCTGGCTCTGTTGGCCCAGCGCTCCTGGTCTGGGCTGTGGGGCTCACAGTCCTGGGTGGCCCCATTGCAGTCTCGCCCGGAGCTCACTGAGGTGGGATCCGATTTGGTCCGGCGCCGGGACTCCTCAAAGAAGATCAGGTTTTCATTAACGTCAGTCCTGCTCTTGCGCTCCTTCTTGTGTTCCCGCAGGTGCAGGTAGCAAAAGCCGAGGAGCTCCGAGTCCAGGGGATCTGGAGGGCTGCCCCCTCCGGAGCTGGGGAGAGAGCCTCCCAGGAGCCTGCTCTCCTTCTTAACCAGGGGCCCTGCTGGTGCCGGAGGCTGATGGCCGAGGAACGGGCAGCTGTCTGGGGCATAACACACAGTGGCTGTTAAAACATATGGCTCCCCAGGAGGCGGCTGGTGGACAGGCAGGCAAAGAATCCGGTGCCTGCCCACTTGGCCGGAGGATGAGCAGGGGACCCTGTGAGGTCAGTTGGGTCCCAGCAGCAGGAGAAATTGAGCAAGACACTCTTCCCACAAGTTTCTGCTGGCTCCCTCTGCCCCTGGGCCCCCCTCCACACTTCCGGCACTTTCAGTTTAATCTCTCTCTCTCTCTCTCTCTCAACAGTGGGGGGGGGGAGCTAGACAGGCCAAGAGGGTGTGCTTCTTGCAGGCAAGCCCACTCCTTCCCTTTGAGAGCTCCAGGCAAAAACCCTCTGGGCTCTCCCCTGCGAGGGCTGTCTCCTGGCTCCCCTCCTTCCCTCAGCCTCCTCTCAATGACTCTATGCACCTCCGCCCCCAGCCCCCGACTGAACAGCTGCAGGAGGAGGAAAGAGCAAGGGGGGGATGCTGCTGCTGCTACCTGCAGCCCTGTTGAGCAGAAAAGCTCTGCCCAACACATAGCTGCCTCCACACCACTCTGGCTCAGCCTGGTAAGGGAATCCCCATGCTTGAGAGGTTCCAACTGGGATGCTGCTGCCTACAGAGCCATCCAGGGGAAAGGCCCATCATTGGAACCCCCGAGTCGAGGGATATCCTGGGAACCTGACCAAGGGGCACAAATCTCAGAGGATGAAACGCACCTGCCTTGGTCAGTGGAAGCGGTGGTGGCTGACTGGTGGGTCGGGAAAGGAACATTCGCTTGGAGTCCACCAGAAGGCGGCAGTAGCCAGCAATGAGGCAGGTGAAGTTGGTGGCCTCTGGCCATTCCATTAGCAGCACCAGAGGCTGGGAAGGGAGAAGCCAAAGGGTCAGAATCCTGTCTGGCTGTGGGACAACCTTCTCAAGAGGGAAAGTGATGTGCCTGGCCAGGAAAGGCTCCGTGAGCGCCTTGCTTGGGAGACCCGCCCTAGCTCGCCTTCCAATTCCACCAGAATGGCAACCAGTGGCAGCAGCTGGACCTACCTTGGCATCCAGGATGCTTGTTTCCACCCGGGCCACACCCTGGTTCTCCCTGAAGAGCTGGATCTTGCTGACTTTGCTGAACTCGGACAGCACGGTGGTGAGGTTTGTTTTCAGATCAATGACATGGCTGATGCCATGGTGAGGCCCTACCAGGAGGGTGGTGGCTGACTGTTTCTCATCCTGTGTGGGACGAGATGCCAGTCAGAGGAAGAAGGGCAGAGGCAGGATCTGGCTGGGGGCCTGTCACTGCTATCTCCCCTCCCTCACGCGCCAGCATTACTATACCAGTCCCACAGTGCTGAACAGGACGCCTGCAAAGGTTGGCAGCTCATTCAGGATGCGCAGGTAGTGGAGCTTTGCTTGGGTGGTGGTGATCTGGGGAGAGATATTGTGTCCTCCGTGAGGATACCAGGGGGGCAAGATCCCCCTAAGAATTATTCTACCCTGGCAACAATGCAGGACAAGGGTGGCTTTTCTGGAAGTTGAACCTTTCTTGGCTTGACTACTGCAGTGGGTTCTGCCTGGGTTTTACTGTGGCAGCCAAGCTACGAACTGATGCAAACTAGTTGTGCAGCGAGAGACCTGAACCGGTTGCCAGCTGTTTTCTGAGCACAAGATCAAATGCCGGCATTGACCCTTAAAAGTCTGAATGGCTTGTGGTCCAACCGCCCGAGGGACTATTTGCCTGGTTTAGCAGGACACGCCGTCCCAAAGGCCAGTCTGCTTCTAATGCAGAGGGGATGGCTTCTTCTGCAGCACCGTTGGCCCATACTGGATTGTGGCCTCCCCTGTATTGGGTTTACAGCTGCTGATATGGAAAATGTGGGGGCTCGGTCAGTAATCGACCTGCCTTCTGTCAGCTTTAGCCCACTTGTGTGAAAGTTGTACCAGAAGCCAGGAAATATTTTTCCCAGAAGAGCCGGATTTGGACTTTCTAAGAAGTTTGCATCACGGCCCCTTCTCTGAATGGAGAGAAAGGTGTTAAGTAACAATCTTGTGAGGAAGGCACCGAGCTAAAAACCAGGAGACGGTGCGTTCTAGTCCCCCCCTCCTTAGGCATGAAAGCTGGCTGGACCGGCCAGTTTCCCAATCAACATCACAGGGCTATTGTGGGGAAAACAGGAGGAGGAAAGGGTATTAGGTGTGCTAGCACTTTGAGTTATCTGTAAAAATAATAAAGGTAGGATAAAAATAAAACTGGTTTTTCTGCATTGGCTATTTTACACTTTATGTAGAGTTGCCTATTAACCTTCCTATGCCGTTTACCTCTATTTACAGAGGGAAGTCCAGGGGAAAGACCATTTGTAGAAAAAGAAAGGCATCGTACAATGATTCTCTAGGTAGATTACGCACATCTAATGGCATGTCTGAACACATGACCCACCTAATAATCAGGAATAAAAGCTCCCAAATCCTGCAACAGACTAATTTGTTTCCAGATCCAGTGTACCTTTCAGAAAGAAATTTGGTTTTGGTAACCAAGAAATTGGTTTGATTACTATATGTTTAAGTTGCCCCTCCATCAGCTTGCACAGAGCAACACAACTGTAGATGGAGATCTGTCTAGACGCCCTCTATGAGGGCATGAGTCTTATTTCAAAGGATGCCAACTTGGCCAGAGAGTTTGGGGGGAGGAGGCAGCACCACTTTAGAAGGACTCTGGGAATCCTCTTATGTTTGAACTCAAGTATGCTCTTCACTCACAGTCTGTTGGAGGAAACCACACTTGAGCCCCCTCTGGGCCGGAGGGGCCACACTGCTCCCCCCCCTGCTCAGACAGCCATTGGAGTCCCGCAGGCCATCCGCCCTCCCTGCACTCTCGCCTTGCCTTGGTGCCCCAGGGGGGCTGGTTCTGATGGGCCTTCAGCTGCTGAGACAGGGCCTTCCGAAGGCTCTTGTCTTTGATGCCTTGCAATAGCGAAGGGGGCAGAAACGGCTCCAAGCCCCATTCCTTCCTAGCAGGCAGGAGAGAGGACTGGTAAGGAAGGCCAGGCGGATTTCCCTCTTTTCCCCTGCCCTCCAGGGGTCCCTGGGCTGGTGGGGGCAGGCAGAGGACGAGTCCCTCCGGCTTGCAGGTGGCATCTACTGCCTTAGGGAGAGGAAGGCAAATGGTCAACAAAGGGCCAAGGAAGGATTGTAGGGTCAGATCCTGTGGCCAGCAGAGGCTGAAGACCTTGCCAGAACGTCACTACGAAGGCTGGCTTAGTGTGTGAGAGAGACTCTGGACACGCAGAAGGGGCTAGTGCATGGCGGGGGGGGGGGGAGCTGCTGCAGCTTTTGCTGCCAAACTTACTCCACGTTTTTGAGAGAGACTTTCTGGCTTGGCCGTGTGGCTGAAACCGTGATATAAATGTGCAGGGCAGTCAGGCCGAGCAGCATTTCCGGCTTGGGCTCCATCCCAAATCGCTCCCTGATCACATCGTTGCGGCTCTGGGGAAAGAAAGTGAGCTGCTCAGACAGCTGCTTCCCTGCATCCCCCTCCCCAAGAAGGCCCTGCCCAGGTCTTTGCAGCCCCTCCGAGTGTGCTCTGGTGCAGCACCGCTATGCTCTGGGTGCGGCTGGGAAATGGCTGCAGAGCAATCTGGAGCCAAGACAGAAAGAGGCCAGGCTCTCTGCTGCGAAGCAAGGGGGAACTTTGCACTGCTGGTAGGCAAGAAGGCCCCGGGAGGCCCTGAGCCTGGGGCTCTCCTCCCCCCCTTCACCTGGATATACAGGTACTCAAAGGCTGCCGGGTCCCTTCGCAGCAGCTCCACGGGGTCTTTGGGAAAAAAGCTGACCCGGAAGAGGCATCGCATCCCTTGGTAGTGCGTCCTCTGTACCACCTGTGCAGAAGCAGACGGGAGCCTCCCTGAAACCCTCGGCATCGGGAGGCAAATGTGGCCCCTATGCGGCATTGGCTCGCCTTTTCTAAGCAGAGCAGAGGTCCCAAGATGGCATGTTCTCCCTCCCTAAATGCTGTGCCAGCTTCAAGCCCCCCTCAGTGTTCTGGTTCCTCCCCAGCCCAGACACTTGGCAAGATCACCTGATAGAATCTTCTCAGGGCTGGAAGTCTTCCAGAGCAGGAAACCTCAGACAAACAGCTTTCCAATTGCAATCTTTGCTTGAAAGCCTCCATGATGGAGTTTCCATGACTCCAGAAGGCAAGCTGTCCTTAATAGCTCTTGCAGCCAGGAAATTGCTCCATATTTCAAGCTTGGAACTCTCTCTGGAAAGCTCCTATTGGTGATTGGTTGTTCTTCTACCCTACAGAGAATAAAGCCCCCCTTCTTTTTCCTGGGACAGCTTTTTAAAGTTTTGACGGCTGCTGTCATGTGTGCTTTTGGCCTTCTCTTAGGCTAAATGTACCCAGTTTTTGTAGCATCTGGTCTTACTAGATTTGTTTCTCTTTGTTCTCCTTCTAATTCCTCAGCACCTGTCTTATATTTTGTGGCACAAAATGACACCGTATTCCAGGTATGGTTTGACCAGTGGTGGCATCATCTCAGCATCCTATCTCTGCTGATGCAGCCCAGCCCAGCAGTAGCTTGCACTTAATAACACAGAGCTGTGAGCCGGTCTTCTGAGGTGTGAGCATTCCCACCCCCCACCCCTTGTGTTATCTGCAGCTCCTCTCTATCCCCCTCCTCCAAGCCATGCCAGGAGCAGAGCAGGCAAGCAGTCCTTCCAGTAGGAGCCGTGAGGAGACCAAATTCCTGCAGCAGAGAGAATGGAGGCTGCACAGGCGCTTACGTGGGCCAGGGGCTGTTTGTCCTGCAGAAGAAGGAACTTGTGGCTCTGTTCAGGGCTGGAGTATTCCAGGACCAGGGAGAAATGCTCAATCTGCCTCAAGGACAGCCGATCCTGGAGGGTCATCATCACATCCTGGCCAGAGAGGAAGAGAGAACCTAACTGGGGGGGGGGGGACTTCAATGCTCAGAGATGTTCCCCCTCTCCCAGGAAGGCCCAGCGTAGTGCAGCTCCCAAGGGACAGGGGCCCAGCACTTTAGCAGTTCTTAGAATTAAAGGAATGAGGGCAGGAACCAGGCAGGAGGGAACCACTGCTGGAGGGGGGATTTCATCTCGGCTGGATCGTTCGTAGGGAGAGGCTGTACCTCTATTGTGCCTCTCCCCACCGAGGGAAGCCCACATCAGGACTAGCCTAGCAGGTTGCCTGGCTCCTCTGGCACTCCCTACCTTGACGGTGGTTCGGCCGTCGAAGGTGAAAGACTTGATCTGTCCGTTCTCAAGGAAAACCTTCAGCACGTTTGGAATCAGGAGAAGCGCTTCCTTCTTCAGCATGTCCTTGGGGAACAGGAGGGAGCCCGCCCACCCACGGAGCAGGGCAGGGCAGAGAGAAGGGGGAGGGGGGAAGAGGAGAGCACATCAGCAACATGTGGGTTTTAAGAATCAGCCACTGTGGGGGAATGGGCTCTGCAGTAGGAGATCGTGGGGGACTGGCCAAGTGTGCACCCCTGCCACCCCTGATCTCCAGGGCTGCTCTCCGCTGGGCTGGCAGGCCAGATGGAGGCTGGAGGCCCCCAATGGGTAGAGACTCGAAGCAGGGAGGCTGCGGCAAGTGTGCATGGTCCGGTCTCTGTTGGGAGCTGCTGCAGGGTGTGTGGGGAGGTGTCATCTGCCTCCTGACTGGCCAAAAAAGATTGTAACCGTACTTTTCACACAGACTGGAATGTAAACTGAAATGGTTGCCTCCAGATCCTGGTGAACTTTGACAGATGTCCCCAGAAACAACCTGGCCCCCTTTTCTTCCATACCAAATTGAGATATATGGACTCTCTCAACTGTTTCAAAAGGCTTTTCCCACCCCACATCAGTTTCTGGGAATCGACACACAATGCAGTTCTCTCCACTGGCCTCAGCTGTGCTTCCTAGATCAGTTGGAAAGGTGGCCCTTGCAGAGCTCTTCCCCTTGCCGAGTTGGAGGTTGGAGGAGATGAATCGAGCTACACGGAATCCCCCGGGGGGGGGCACTCACGGGATCAGTCTCGCCAATGGTGACGTGTTCTGAAAAGCGAACTTTCACTGGATTGGACCGCAATTTCGCCTTTTTGGCTGCACTGATAAAGGCTGATTTTGGGGACTGCAAAGAGAAGACACGTCAGATGAGCTCTGCCCAACCCGACCAGGCCTGCAAACCAAGAAAGCTTCCTTGGACTGGACACTCCTCCCCTCCCGGGTTCTGATGGCCCAAAGGCTTTGCCTCTGCTGCTTGCGGCCACCACCTCCCCTGGAGAGCTAGGGTGGATCTGGCCATGCTGCTCTCCAAAGGACGACAGCCAGGTGCCTGCTTGGCTCTCTTCCTCTGAACTGCAGCCAACAGAAGAAGAAAGGGGCTGGTTGTCCAGAGCCTTCTCAAAGCGGCTTTCATCAGTACAGGCATGACCAACTGTTCAGCGGTACTGCCACTTGGGCTCTGGGAGGGAGCAAGGCTGTTCCCTGCTGCCCTGCTGGTGGTCTGGAAAACAAATGCCAGCAGTTGTATTCCCCCCCCCCTTCCCCCAAAAAGGCAGGAGAAAACCCAGGCCTGGAATATCGTAGCGATGCTGCAGTAGGTGGTCAGATGGCTCTCCATCACCTCCAGCTTATCAACGGAGGAAAAAAACAGTGCCGTCTCTGGGCAACAGAGCAGCAGCATCACCTTCTGCTGGCATCTGTGAAGGTGTGAACCCAAGGCCTGGCCCTTCCAGGGGCACAACCGTCATAGTAGCCAAGATTGGCTGCTGCTGCTGCCAATCTTTGAAAAGAAGCGAATTTCCCTTTGATGCCCTGGCCATTTTTTGGCTGGAGGCAACACATTCAGACAGCCAGAGCCTCCAGCCTTCCTTCCACCCGTGTCGTGTTTGCACAACAAGGCAAGGGGGGCTGAATGGGATCAAAAAGCCTGTGATCCAGCCCATTGTAGGGGACCAGCCATTTCTTCACATGCGATGTGAACAAGAATCACTGGCGCAAACGTGGTGCCCTTCCCACCCCAAAATTTGGCTCCCACCTGATGAGTCTGTAGCACGGTAAGGACCAGGGCCTCCTTGGCGCCTCTGCAACGAGAAGGGAGAAGCAGCTGCTTTCAGGAGAATTCTGTGGAGCATTGCAGCGAGAGACGGAGTCGGCCTTTCCCTGCCTCCAGTGGAGTCATTCCCTGGGTCCACAGGGTCGGGCTTTCCTTTTTGCAAGCCAAGTTTTTATTTTGCTCCCACCCCCAGTCATGGATTCGCTTAGAATGCCTTGGCCTCTGATCACAGGGGGCGGGAGCAGGTTGCATTTCTCCCTGCCCCAAAGATTATGCAGAACATCTCAGCAGTCAACTGTGGGAAGAGCACCAGGAGAGCTTAAGGCAACACCTTTGGGAGCATGCAGGCTTTCCAAAGCTGGCCAGGCAGCCCTGATGGGTCTCTGAATCTTCCTCCCCTTCCATTCTGGCATCCCGCTCTTACCTGACAAGTTCTATAACTCTCTCTCTGGGGGCGTCACTTACATCTTCATGGTTTATGGCCAAAATTTGGTCACCTGCCAACAGCTTATCCTCAGATGGCCCTCCTGCCAAAGAAAGGGTGGTCAAGTGAGCCACTGCTGGGGGGGGGGTTGGGGGACATAGCAGCCCCCATGTGGCTTTTGATGTTTCCATCACGTGCTGCTGGCCCTGCTGCCCCTCAGCCACCCCCTGGCTGTGCTTCCTCACTGCCTTTGCCTTTGAAATCTCTGGCACTGGGAACCACAGGGGGGGGGGAGCTTGACCCAAGCACTCTGCAGTTCAAAGTAGCTGTTTTGATCTTGAAATGATGTCACTTGAGAATGATCAGAATTGCCTGTTCTGAGATTTTGTACATTCCCACTTTGTCCTGTTGCCTCTTATGGCTTTGGGGAAGTGGGGGTTCTGATGTAGCTGTCCCCCAGTAAACAGAGCCCCCTCTGCCCAACTTCTCGTACTTGCGACCTTCACTGGCCCCACTCCTTTGGGCATTTCCCACCGCACCTGAGGTCACTGAGCGAACTACCACCGGTCTCTCACTTCCGGCCACAAAGCCGAATCCATAGATGGGGTGACGCTGGACTTTCACCTGTCGGAGGGCCTCTGCAGGCAACTGGTCACATTCCATATCATCCCAGCAGCGCTCTGCCTGCGTCACATGCCTGAGCATGCGGAGACACAAAACGACAGAGATGAGGGTGGGGGCTGCTTGCGCCCTCTTCTTTGGATAAGCCTGCGTTCTTCTTCATAGCCCGGGGGACCACCCAGGCTGGAGGGGGGCACCATTGCACCAGAGTTGACATCGCCTCTCTCCCAGACCATCTCTCTCCAAGGCAAAGGCTTGCTCTGTCTCCTGGCACTTTGGCATGCCAGAGGACTAAGCTCTGCAGAGGAGACCTGAGAGGGGAGGGAGGAAAGGCACTTCCAGATGAGGGCTGCACTCCTAACCGAAGCAAGGTTGCTCTCCTGTGGGGGATTTACACAAGCAGCTCCAACAGGACATGCAAGGGAGGAAGAATCCAAGCAGGATTCACACTTCAAGACATTCAAGCAATGGAACAGATCCTGTCCTCCTCTAACACCTAATGTCTTGGGGTGCCAATACTCAGTACATCCGGCGCTCTAGAGCATCTTATACCAAGAAGACATTTCTGTTGCCTGACATGGCTTCTCAGGAGAGGGAGGTAGTCCCTGGCTCCTTGGTCTTTAGGAAGGACAGGCTGAGGTGTTTCTTCTCCTCTGCAGCAATTGCCCCCACCAGGGAGGGACTGTTTTGGACTGACTGGCAGCTTCACGCATCTCAGCATAAATTAAAATTCTGTTGCTAGATCTCATGTTTGCCAATGATATCCCAAAGTGTTCTCTCCTTTCTTCCTTCACCTGCACCCCCCCATACCATCCCAATACACCTGCTTCAAGGCCCACTTGTCTGGGCTGGGGCTCTGGGGGGTTCATGGTGGCATAGCCAATACAGCTACTGATGGCCATGGTGGCTGAGCACCAGTGGTGCTTCAACCAACCTAAGTTGCTGGAGCTTGTCCTTCAGCTCCTTCGGAGGGTCACAGGTCCCCTGCTCTGGCTGGAGGGTCTGCCAGCTGAGGAAGGGCAGCAGCCCGTCGCTTGGCTTCTCTACTTCTGCGGACTCTAAGCTGAATCTAACACTCCCCACCCTAAAGATTGAGGAGGCCTGGTTTGCTCCTGCCTTTGAATCCAAGGAAAATGGCTGGGGAGCCAAGAATCCCAGGATCCTGCTCCAGTAAGGAGGAGCAGGGGAGGGACTCGTTTCTACTTGCTTGGAGATGTTGCTCCTGACCCAGCCAGGTTGCCCCACTTCCTGCCCCGCTTCCCCAGCCTCCCTCAGGGGATGAGGGAAGTCAGGGGACTCTTGCAAACTTAGGGCTTTTAGATGCTTGTGGCCACCAGCTAGAGAGCAAGCAGGCTGGCTGCCCTGTCTTTTGGCCCCACGGCTGGCTGGCTGGCTGGCTTGCCTCTCTCAGCCCGGTTCTGGCCTCCAGCACGGAAGGATTCCTTGCTTTTTTCCCCTAATCTGCACTTTAAGGAAGATCTCATTCATTCTGCTCTCCTTCTCTTCCTTTTTAAACATACCAGCAGCATTTGGTCAAAGAAGCTGCTGTTGCTTCCCAGGGATCTTTGGATAAGCCCAAATTTCCCCCCCTCAACCTGCAAGCACACAGGAGGGAAAGGTGTAGCCTTCCTTTGCTCCTTCCTGAGTACGATGAAAGAAGAAGAAAATAACGTGCATTACACTGATTAAGGTATTATGAACAGCTTGCATAATTAGTATATATCACTAGAGTTCTGTGCAAATCAAATGTTCCCATAGCCAGGAACAAAGCTGGATGGAGACCCTACTAGCAAGCAGTGATTTTCCTGGATCTCTCAGATCTCTGCTACAGAAAAATCGAGGTAAACAATCCTTGCAGTGGGTGCCAGCCCTGTGGATGAGTGCTGTCAGTTTGGGGACAAATCACAAGGAATCTTCCTGGGATGTTACACTTCAGACACATCGCTAAGAGACAGCAGGACGTGGCCACCAAATGGCAGGCCAAGGAGAATGCTAAGGCTACCTGCTGGCAGCTCAGTCCCTTGGGAAGGGCTCTAGGTCAGAAGGCTTCCAGGGGCTGTTTTCTGTCCCAGACGGAGGAAGGCTGCACGGGAGCTTCCCGGGACCAGCACAGGCAGTCCCTGCAGGAAGCAGAGCAAAACGGGCCAAGTCCCAATCCAGATAAATAGGGTTGCAATGTCACCACAGCTGGCACAGATGTGCTCCAGATGTGCAAGCCTGTGGGAGATGGGTTTGTAGCCCTGCTCAGAGATTGGCCATTTCCCTCAGTAGTTCTTGAGATGTGCTGAAGAGGAATTATTTTCACCCCAAGACTTCTGGCTTCTTGGATTCTCTTTGACAGCCCAATCCAGGTGAAATTCTCATTGTGAGATGCTTATTCACATCTAACGGCCCTTCCTGACCGTATGCCCTGTTGCCAACAGGAGGAACAGGAAGGGAGAAAGTGAGCCATGTGGACTGTGCACCAGAACTCCACTGAAACCCTTTTGTGATTTGATGGACACCACAGACTGGTCCAGTCAGTTGCCTGGGCTAAATATACCCAACCCAGAAGGTGGGGAGGCCTAATTTTAATCTTCCTTCAGAAGTTTGTCTCTGGATCAACCAATTTCATGGAACTGGTCCTCAGGTGGGCTGTTTCCTAGGAGGGAAACCCCGTGGAAAAAAGCATTGCTAGAGGACCAGCCAAAAATAGATCTGAAGGCATTTTCTGGAAAGGAAAAGGAAAATCCCCCACAGGGCCAGCTGGAGATGCCTGTTAGAGGCACTCTGAGTTTTCCACTGCCTTGCTTGACTAAGCAGACCTACAAGATGCTGTGGACCCTCCTTATTCAGTGGCAGAACAAGGTTCCAGAGCGGAAGACAAAAACCAGGAATTAAGAGCAGGAAGCTTCTGGTTGGCTCAAGAACAGGCCCACCAAGTGACAGTCCCAGCTGTTCCAGGCAAAGAAGCACATTTCCTCCCTGCCTCTCCTGAAAGACTTTCACACAAAAAATCCATTGATATCTGCCTGCCTGGTCTCTGGCTTTGTTTTCTCCCTCCTGCCTAGTTTTTGCTGCCTAGCTTTTGGTTGGATACAGCGATTCTGCTCCTCCTAATAACGCTGGGAGGGGTGAGGCTGCTTCAGAGTCCACCTTGAGGCGGGCACAACCAAGCCCTCCATTCATAGCAGGAGACCCCAAAGCAAGTGCTTCCAAGGAATGCCCCACTTCTCCTCCCCCACAAGGAAGCTGCCTGAGACTGGAGCCCCCCAGCAGCCTCCTCTGGTCTCAAGATACTCACTGTCGGCATCCAGCAGCCAAGAGCAGGGACAGCTTGCTCCGGCCTGCTCACTGCTCGCTGCTGCTGCTGCTGCTGCTTCCTCCACCTGGCGCTGGTGATGGCGGCGCCTGTGGAAAGAGCGAGGGAGGCTCTGAGCTCTCAAGCCTTCAAAATCCAGCCCCATCTGTGATCGGAATCTTAAAAAGCTGCCTGGCTCAGCCCCAGAATTTGGCGGGGGCCAAAGAGCGAGTGAGGAAGAAACTCTGGCAAGTGCCAAGCAGCTGTTTGCTGGCCAAGTCCTTTCATAGCAGAGCTGCACCAGGGAAGTGGCTTCCTTCCCTCTCCCCAGAGCCCCCTCTAGAGAACCCTGGATCTACTGGGGAAGGGCCGAGACTTGAAGAGCTTAGAAGAGAAGCAGACAAATGGAGGAAATTCAACTCCCAAGGAGAGATCAAACAGCCAAGCAAAGAGGGCAAGAAAACTGATATATGCCCTGGCTGTGGCTTGGCGAATTTGGCAATCAGAGGGTGAGAGGCAGTTTGTGCAAAGAGGCCCTGCACTTTTGAGGACAAGGACGTTGTGCATAAAAGACTTACAGGCAGGTTGATGAGTAGGACTGCTGGTTTCTCAGCAACCCCTTGTGCAGGACACCCAACATGTTGAATAACATAGGCTTTCTTAAAGTTAATCTTGGATTAATGACTCTCTATAGTTTTATGGTTGTTATTTCTCTGATTCACGTAGTAGAATTGTTTTAGGGATGATATTTTTCCTATTGGATAGAGCAGAAGGGAGAGCAACAGCTCCAGGGAGTCCTTCCCCCAGTAGCCTTCGACAGGAGACGTCTAGAGGAGTTTGGCTTGGATTGTACATTGTGAGGTCAGTCCTGGTCACTGGAATGATCACTTTAAAAACAGAGGGCATGTTTCCTATCAGGGCTCTCTTGGCAGAGAGTGCTGAGATGCTTAACTTTTGAGAAAGAAAACCTGTTGGACTAAAGCCTGTTTGGCTTGCTTGGGGAAAGTATTGACAACTAAAACACATTTTTCCTGTGCTTTCCGAATTGCCTGATCTGAACTGACCTCAGCAGGAGGTGCAGCAAGGTTCAGCCTGTGGCGGAGAGGGGGAGGGGAGCGCACCTTTCAACAGGTATTGGGCAGCAAATTAAGCCTGTCCTAAATCCATCCCAGGGGATTTGCCTGCAGCTTCCAAATCCCTGGTCCCCATATAGAATCACCTGACAGGGGAGATGGGTGGCATGAGAATTTATTAACATTTTGAAATGATTAAAATTGTTTAAATAAAAAAATAATACTTTTTATTTAAAAAATTAATAAAAAATAAATATAGCTGCTGGGACTTGGAAAAAGGGTAGTTCTGGTTAAGTGGGCCAAGGTGGTCCGGCAGATGAAGTTTCCTAAATTCAGTCAAATAGGACTTAGCCAAGGCGGTGGGGTTGGGGGTGGGGTGGGTTTATCCAAATGAAAACATATTGTGTACTATCCACTCCCTCTCCAGAAAACAGCCCAGATTTGCAAGACAGGCTCTGCAATCTGTTTTGGCGTCATTGCTCTGCTCTTTTGGGGAGAGCACCTTTCTGGGCTGAGGGGCGTTGTCTGCACTTTAGAAGTCTGCATTCCATACACAGAGAAGGGGCAAATCCCAAAGTCCTGTTTTTAGTTAACCCAAGAGGCCCACTGCCCACAAACATCAGAAGCCAATGGAGGTTCTTCGCACTGGGCCAAAGAATAGCTGACTGGGGGGTGGCACCACTATGATTTTTTCTCTCCCCACTTTGAGGGTTTCAAATAGAGGTCTCTCCTCCTGAGATGCAGAGAGAAATGACACAGGCAAAGGTTCCGTGGCCTTCACTGTTTCCAACTATTTTCTCTGAAACTTGAACAGGCTTTGATTACTTCCTCTATGTATGGAAAATATTATTCTGGCTCTCATCAGCATGCAGAATTCCTCATGGTGCCTCTAGCCTCATTTAATAGTCACAGCAAAGGATTTGCTTTCATATTTAATGGAATCCCTCATCTCTCTTCCCCTACACCACACGCATAAAGCCTCCCTCTCTGTGCCTGCTTTGCTTTCCTAACCCTAGCCCTAACCCTAACCCTAACCCTTGGCCAGACATGTGTGGGCCGTTCTTCCTGTTGCTGCTGCTCCTTCTGAGCAACCTCGCTCTGCTATTTCATAGCCCCTTCTCAGCAACAGCACCAAGAAAGGAGACTGGGAATCACCTGGGAATATCAGCCCCCAGGCTGGCACCCCAAGTCCAAGGCAGCGTCAAGCCTGGCTAGCCAGAGGAGAGGCCACCCCCAAAAGCTGATCTTCCTCTGCCAAAGTCAGCCAGGGAAGAGCGAGTGGAGAGGGCGGCCACATCTCCCTTTCCTCCTTGCTTGCTCACCCGCCTTCCTCCATCATGATCCGCAAGCTGATGTGTCACAGACCTCTGGCACAGCTGCTCACAAGGCACGCTTCCTCTGTCCCTTGCAGGCCATGGGGAAGGTTAGGATGTGGAGCAACAAGTTCCCAGGTTTTCTGGGACAGGCTGGGATGGAGGGCAACAACTGAAATTACAAAGAGCTAAGCAGAATCACAGGCAGCTACTTTGTTTCTACTAAGGACCACTATGCGGGGAGGGGCCCTCAGCCACAATTTTTCCTTTAAAATTCCCTTCTGGCTTAAGGCAACATGGGAATCCAAGCAAGTGTCGCTTAATACAGCAAAGCATGACTTAACATGAAGCCAGATTCAGTGAAGATATGTATATGTTACACTTCTCATAATACACAGTAAAACTAAATGCAGATTCAAAGAAATGGTGAGTGAACATATATAAAAAACAATCACCATTTGTTGTATTTAGTTTTCTTACGTATCCTACAGATATAAGCAGAGACAACACAAATTATTCCTTTTATAAACATATAACGATTTCAAGTTATTATAGCCTATGAATCAATTAAAAGGTGTATTTATAATGCTGCCATTTTATGATCCTGTATGCTTAATTTGCCTCAAAGACTGACTGTGATCCTCTTGATAACTACATTGGGGGGGGGGAGAGATGGGTTTGATGCCTTTTTCTTGGGATGAAGAGAAGCAATATTTCATTTTGCAAGGCTGTCAACCTCGGGGTTTGATTTACATGCCCAGGCCTTCCTGGGCTTCCGCAGGGGATTTTGCCTAAGGAGCACATGAAGACTTGTAGAATCTTCTGCATCCCTTGTGTGGGTTCTAAAAAAGGAGTTGTCTGGGAGAGGCTTGATCTTTTTTTGCTGGAAAATAGGGATTCTCCTCCACTGCTGCTGCAGTGCTGTTGCAGATCTGGGCTAGATACTGCCAACCCTCCAGCTCCCTGTAAAAGACTGCAGGTGTCCAAATTCTGTGCCAGAGAAACTAAAGGATGGGTGGGAGGTTGTTTTTTTTTTAGCAAAATCCCTGTCTCTACAGCAGAAAAATCTGAGGGGACAGCTCAGAGCAAGGGGAGACTCATAAGCCTCTTGTGAGGCTACCAAACTGTTTATTAATGCAGAGGCAGCTGCATTTACAGCCAAACACTTGAACTGAATACTGTAAGAAGCTGACTCCTTGGATCAGCCTTGGCATGGTGGTGTCACATGCCCTGTGGCCCTGATTCCCACTTGGTTGTTCAGCACAGACAGCTTTCTGTAGGCAGTTGTGTCTGGAACAGAAAGTCGGAAGAGCTCCCATAAGTTGACACTAGCCAGGTTGTTGACTGCTTGGAGTCCCACAGGGTAACTTCACTTACTGAAACTGCCCAGCAAACAGGCTTAACCTCTCCCTCTTCTGGATCTGGCAGTTGACTGGCAGCATGAGGGAAGGAGTTGCCTGCCTCTTTTTGGCAAGCAACCTGTATCAGAGGTAATGACAGGGGAGTACCAGTCAAGTCCTTCACAGACTGAAATAGCTGGGAAGACTCTGGCCAGTGATGCTTCATGCTGTCTTCCAGAAAATTGTGGCTGATGCGCAAAGCCTTTTGCAGGGGATGCAGATTCCTGCACCGGAGCTCGCCTTATCTGTGGATTCTTGCCTTATCTACAGAGCTGGAGCAGTTCTTCCACTTCTTTCTAGCCACTGTTCCATTTCCTGTTTTTATTCATTCCACTTATTCTATGTGAATTTAAAAAAATTGTTTTAGTTCACTAGCTAACCAGGTTGCCTGGAAACAGACTATTCAGTGTGACAAATTCTTGACTGTTAGCAGAATTCAGTTGCTTGAAAATCAGTTCTTTATCAATCCATGACAATTAGAAAATTCTGGCAAAATATTTATGTCGTTTTGGAGATTTTCATCCTATGGATAAAGAAATGCATCCCTATCTACAGCTTTCAGTGCTATTGACACTTAACTGTAATTTTCTATCCTGAACCCTCAGGCGTTTTTCTTTTATTTGTTCTCCCATGCACGGCAGTCAAGTCTCTTCCTTCTGCCCTTTCCTTAAAAGCACCCAGTGCTCCAAGACAAGCACAGATTCTTCCACCTCTTTGTTCTCCAGATTCAATCACTGGCGAAGACCAATTTTATCTGCACAATACTAAATGAATGAATGAATGAATATGTGCACACTGGTCTGCATGTAGAGCCATAGTTTCTACCGGTAAATACACAGTGTGAAAGTGAACATACATCTTTCATTGGAGGGAGTCTCACACAAGAGTGCTGAGTAAAGAATAAATGCTATGGGGATGGTGAACGGCAAGTTGGGTTATTTTCCACAAATATCACCAGGATTTCCTCTTACAATTGATACAGAGATAGTCTAGTTCCTTCTAGAAGAGCCAAATTGGGACAGTCATCATGATAAATGGTGATTTTGGTGATGGGTAGTTTGCTTTACTGTAATGCACAAATCTTGATAAACCATCTTCACCACGGATGGTTTTGACAAAGATTAAGTGATTTCTGGTTTGTCATAAGTGTTTCTGCAGCCTGGGGACCTGAGGCCCTTTCCCCCCCCCCTCCTACAGCAGTGCCAATAGAACTGTGAGAAGACTCTCCAAGTACTGTAGAACAATTTCCATGCCTCTCTTTTCATTTATTTGGTCTCTGCTATGTGCCCTGCAGTTTCATTTTAACACATATTTTAAAGGTTTA